GGCAAGAACCTGAGAAAAGAAAAAAAAACTGATTCTCTCAGACAGCCAAACCACAATAAAGGTGCTTGGGTCTTGAGATGTAACAGTGTCACAAACAGTAAAGGGGTGCAATAACACCCTCAAAAAACTAGCAAAGCAGAACCAAGTTAAAATGGCTGGGTCCCAGGACACCAGGGGTATACGGAAAACACATACGGATGAAACAGATTGGCAACCTTTAGTTTAGTAACTAAGTCCAAATACAATGACAAGCCTACTGTTTCAGAATATGACGAAGCATTTGCCCAGCTTGAATAACACTTGAAAATCCATGAGCTCGAGAATCTTGTATGTTCACCTATGGGCTTTGTCCGAGACCTAATTGACCTTATAAACATATGGAAATTTTAAATTATTTTTTTAAATTATTTTTCTTTACGAACTCATGAACAATAGAAAACGTTCGCTGACCCCTCATAGAAATAAAAAGTAAAGATGATCGCAAGATCTCAGGTTCAAGTCACGTTCTCATGGGCAAAGACCTGGCTGAGAACAAGCCAGGCATAGATTGAATTTCGATCTGGAATGCATCGTAGAAGAAATTGTAACCGATGGGAACAATCGACGAGAAACAATATTGTTCCCATCGATTCCAAGAAATTATACATGCATAAAGAAATTATTCTACTTACGGTCAGCACCACGCCCTCTGGAGGCTGGACATGAGGGGAGAAGCCAATGAGGACGATGATCGAAGATATTCCACCGATGATTGGAGGGTAGGCGTTTCCCGAAGACATCGGGGGAAGAACCAAACATCGAAGGAGGGAAAGGAGGTCTTGGAGACGAAAAGTGTTAATCAGTCTTGGAGAGGTCGGAAGAAGTAGCACTTCAAAGAAGAAACCGCCGGGAGTCCCGGATCGAGTAGGGACAGTGACTCAAAACAGGATAGTCTGAAGCGCCTGTTAAGATCCCGACCAGACTCGAGACCACGAGGACACAACAACCCCACGGCTATCTTCAAGACCCAAGGCCACCAGCACACTACCAAGCTACCAAGGACCAAAGCGACCCGAAGAGGACGGCCCAGGACGAGCGACCGACGACGAGAGGAAGGACTACGCTTCGATCAACCCTTGTGTCCCGAGCGAGCAACCCCGGAGTCTACGCCCGCACCAAAGGAACGCCCCGGGGAACCTTTCAATCGTTGCCCAACTGCCTCGTCTTGTGGTATGTCAAAATATCTTCACTCATTTGGTCCTAGTGTGCACAACTTAAATGTGAGGGTAAAACTCCATAAAATATAACAAAACATATATATAAATGAAATAAACAAACTATAAGAAAGATAAAGTAAATTGAAGTAAACATATATAAATAGAGTTAATGAAGTAGAATTACGTTAAAGTTCATATAAATATTAACCCTTAATTAAACTAAAAGGGGTCAACCTAAACTAGAGCCATTTGAAGTTTGAATAAAACAGGATTCAAATCGAATCCAAATTTAAATAAACCCGTTAGTTGGACTACATATAGACGTGTATATAATAAAAGAGACAATTTCAAATATGTATAAATAATTAAAAATCAGGGTGTTAAACACGTATTTTAAATGTTTGTTTAGTTTGTATATATTATCAGAAGGATGAACTAACTAGTATGTAAATATCGGTTTTGATTTAGGATAGGACATTGCAAGTGTTTACAACTTATATTTTAAATACATTTAAGTGCCAAGGGAAATATTTAATTTCATATCATTATACAGATAATAAAATCAAAACATAGGGTGTAAATATTCAATCATATAATTTCAATTGTATTTGTGTTTTTGCTATTCTCAATTATTATTATATCGCTGTGTAACAATTATTTACTCTTTATTTTATGTACTTATTTTATGTGTGCACATTTAGTTAGCCTTATTAAATCATAGTATTATACTGCACTAGTGTTCACTTATTCCACGATCCTAGAGGTCCTCCATTTAGTGAGTACTCTACCCTAGCTACATTTTTCCCCCTTTGAAGTAAGTTTTGTTTGGTGAAAGTTTTCGTAAGTTTATTTTACCTCTACAGAGGAGTAGAGGCTAGAGAGAGTTTTACAACCTGCATCACTCTGTTTAACAATTTTGTTTAAACTTAATAAATTGTTTAAACAAATTTTGTTTGCAACACATTTTTAATTGAAATAAGCTACAATTACTATCGCTTTCTATGATTAGCCATCAGCAAAGAGCTCTGTGGAAAGGCCTTTCCCACAATCACTTCATTGAGGTACTGAGAGAAGAAATCAAAACATCAAATGTCCAGTTTGAAGAGTCTTTCCTACAGCATTATGAGCCCCTGGGAGAAGGTAGACACCCACATGAAAATTAAGAGCAACCTACTGGCTGCTCCAGCCTTTCTGAGCTAAATCTTGGTACAGTTGAGATAGAACGTTTTAACCAAACATTTGAATTATTATTTCTTAATAAATCAATATGCTCTAACTACCACTGCAGGGGGAGAAGCAACGGTTTTGGCAGAACAGAGTTTGAAGGGGAAACCGTTTGTCTCTTTAGAAGTAAATACCCTTTACGAGGATAAAATATTTGAATGTTGTTTTGCAAGTTTCAGAAAGGTAAATTCAAATTTGTAACAGCAGCAATACACTTAATTTCCAAACAGCAGAATTTATCAACAGGCTTGATATAGTATATTACATTACTAGTCCTGAAAATAAGTGTTTACCGGACGAGTGTGGTCGTTCCCGTGCGAGACGAAGTCGAGTACGGGATTACTATACGAGTCCGGTACACACATTTTGGACGAGTTACTTACGTTAGTTTACGCCATACTACTAAATCCGTACAAATCCTTATATATTTCCACCAACTAAAGGTCTAAAAATCACTAGTCATAACCTCTTTATGTTTTTGTTTATAACCACTCACTTCCATCTAAATACAGTATAATCAGCTGATTGGTGTCCGGTAAAACTCACTGCAGTACAGTAGTACGCAACAATGAAACCCCATTTGAATAAGCTGGCGGCAAACAGCTGTTTTCTGGACTAAATCCTTGCGTGGGAAGTTCGTCAAAATAATGTAGTGTGGCGTAAAACAAATTACTATTCTGCTGAAAAAAGAAAAAAATATATTGTGATTGCTAGAGATTTTAATACAAATATTTAAAAAAGCTCTACTGAATCATTTGAATTTAAAAATGTCCCATTCCAGCCTAAAGACGGGCGCCCGTCCTAGCGCGTTAGGTTACGAAAGACTAACCTCATGCATAATGCATTATTAGGCTTTTTATGCATTATTATTGACTTACCTATTTAAATATTGATTATTAATTAATTATTAATTTACCTAATTTTTACAAAAACAGCTATAAAATGAAGGATTTTATACAGGGTGCGGCAAAAGTCAGTATACCAAAAAAGCAGTTAAACTGTAGCTAGCATTAAACATAACTACTATAAAAGTATAATTTTAATGTACCTGTTAGAGAAGCTGCTCAAAGTGACCACCATCATTGTCTATACACTTGTAGCACCTTTTCAACACTGACTTACAGATTTTGTCGCATAGTTGTGGTGTGAATAAAACATCAAAATGTTTTGTTATTAATTCTTTTAAATGTTCTAAACTTTGAGGTTTCTCCGAAAACACGTGTTCTTTTAACAAACCCCACATACTGAAATCGCACGGAGTTAGGTCTGGGGACCTAGCAGGCCACTCAATAGTTCCTCTACGTCCTATCCATTCATCGAAGTTATCATTTAAAAATGCTCGAACATTTAGGCCATAGTGTGGAGGTGCTCCGTCTTGCTGCCAAATAATCGAACGACGACGCAACTGTTCAAAAGTGAGACTGTTTTCCAACTCTAAGAACACATCTAACATCCGTATAATCACGATCGAATTTCCACCAATTTTTCAAAAGAAAAACTCGTTGCTCTAAAGTTAGTTTACGATTCATGATTAAAAACCCCAATAATAGAAGTTAATAATACAAGCAGTACACTCACCAACTTAACTTCACTGTCACTAGTGGCATACTAACAAAACAAACATTCATTGATAAAGAATAAACAAAGACAAAATCAACCACGCCTAGACGTCAGATTAGATAAGGAATAACACTGAGATAATAATAGCACGAGAGATAAACAATGACGCTCACTGGCCTGCAGCGGTATACTGACTTTTGCCGCACCCGGTATAAACAAACAAAATAAAGTTTTTTGTGTAACAAATTGAATATTATTTATGAATTTGACCAAGAAATAGATTTTTTCAAGGTTTTGATTTAAAAAAAAAATATATAGGTACCCATATATAAAAATGCATATATGTATTGAAAATGCTATAAATATTTTTTATTTAAAATTGGTGTCATATGAAAGAAACTTTTATGTAGATCAATTCATGCACAAGTGTTTAGGCATTTATTTCATAAATTACATTTTTAATGACTTTTTTACTAAAACATTGTGCATTGGCGCTTTTTTACTCAGTTCCAATTGCATGATACTTGACAAACAACTCACTCAGTCAGGAATGGGTTAAGGTATTTAGTAGACTTTTCCAGATCAGATTACCATTATTTAGATTGTGCAACAATGAAAACACCTGATTTCATTGAAATAAACCGTAACAAAACACTGGCAAGGGTAGTGGGTTAATGGAGAACTAATCGAGAGCAAGGGAAAATCAGCTGATGGTTTTTCCTCGTTCTAAATCAGAGCTTGGGAAACAACTACTTTCTTTGATATAAGCTGTTATTGAAAACAACTACTTTTGGTTCGGAGTGATGAAAAAACAGTTTAACAATAGGTATAAAATGCAATTGGGTTAGTCAACAGTTAGCAATAGTGTTAGACACATATCAGCAAAGAGTGTGTGGTTATACCCCGTCTGGCGTATGCTCTCCATTTCAAAAATTAGCATTGCAAATTGGCTTCCATAGAAAGGCACTTACCAGTACCTTAAAATGAGGGAAAAATATGACATTACTTTTTGTCCAAATAGGGAAAGTTTATTAATACATTAAATTTACATATGAATGCTAAGTGGAAATAAATACAATAACAATATAAAAAAAAAACAGTAATATTATCTATTATTATTATTATAAATTGTTGTATCTATTTCATGTTACAATGTTTACAATAAAAGACTCACAACAATGTGATGAATGTTAAGGCACATAAGACAGGACATCATTTTAACAACATTTTCATTAATTGATGCTAATGTTATTATGCATTGATCATGAACAGTAAAATATTACAAGTACAAGGTCATTAAAAGATTCATGAAGTGAAAAAATGGGTTTGATTTTCAGTGATCTGGTTAACTCATATACAGTATGAACAAATTAATTAATTGAAGAACACTTTCCAAATCATTAGAAGTCAACAAGTTAATCACGCTTACTTACAGTTTCCCATTGAAATAGGACAATAATATTTCAAGTAGAGAATGTCTAACTTTGTCTTTGTTGGTAATTCAAGTATCTATTTTATCCGAAGAACGAGGCAACCAAATTAGCTAAATAAACTAAAATAAACAATTTTTATGTTTTTTAAACTTCAAAATAAATTAATGATTGCAGTACATGAATTCATAAAATAAAAGTTAAATAGACATGAATAGTGTTCCTCAATTAAGTAATTAAACTTCTTAAAAACAATTGGTTATTCTGTTTAAGCCATATTGCAGTCAAATCAGGTAAATGTCTAGAGATATTGTACGAGGTATGTAAATGTTTCCAATAATTTAAACACATATAAAAAGCAGTAAAAACTCACAGAACCAGTATTAGTTACTCAAATGCTCTATTGCTAAACATTTTCTTGTAGAGTTTTCATTTGATTTCATCTTTATACATTGCTCCAAAAGTGTATACAAAATCTTCAAAAATGTGCATGGTTGACTATTTTATGATAAATTTACAAGGCATTTTTCATAGAACTGCAGTTGATAGCATGACTATTGGCAGTGTATTATTGACACGAAAACACAGTTTCAGGCAATAGTTTTTGTTACATAAAGTAGCTACAAGGCGGTATAAGATATGTGTGTTTGGCTTTGCCAAATAGCACGTACAGTATGTAGGATGTAAAAAAACAGATGAGTTTTATTTGCAGGTCATAAAAATGATAGCTCATATGCCTAGGACCATCATTCATAAACATACCATCAAATAAAATCTGCATTCTCTGGACACAATTAACTTTTATATTTAAACTGGTTATTTTACCAACAATATTTTTTGTAAAATATCTCAATTTATTGCACTACATTTAATAACTAAAAATTCAACCTTATAGTAATGTCATGTTTTATATGGTTAAAAATAATAAAATAAAATACTGATTTTACCATTAAATTAAAAATTGGCTCATATTCAAATTTATCATGACAAACAATATTTAAAAAGCTTGCACTTAACGTAAGATATTAATATACATTTATGTTTAAAGGGATGAAAATATAATGGTAAAGTAAACATTTTATATACTATATATTTACAACATTAACAACCTCATTGCCTATTATGTATTTAAGACCAGATCAGCTTTATGCAATATGATTTTGTAGTAAATAAATATAAATTATTACAATAAACTCTATTTACAGATATACCCTTTATTCGACTAATATCACCAGGACTTTCTAAAACAAAATCATAGTGCAAGAAATATTATTAGACAGGATATTTAAATATTTATGTTTCACTAACTCTCTTCTGAGCCCTATGTTAAATTTTTTTTTAAGATATACCTACTTAAGAATGACAAAATAAATATAGACACATCAATTAATGGCACATACTGCTTTTACTAATAGATAAGGATAAGACAAAAATTATAATAAAATTTTCAGTAACGCTTTTGAATTGTAATGATTGACATACATACAGTTTTTATACAAATATAAGGGTATATATCAGAAAATTATAATTCTAATGTGACGCTGGGGTCAGAGCTGACCCCGTCATACTGTAAATCAGCTGATAGCTGGAGAACTTGGGGAGGGGTAGGAAAGGCCTTAAGAGAGTAGTTGTGTGCCAGGAGTATACCCGTGCAGTTCCACGCTGGATGTCATCAACGAATTGGATAAGTTATCATTAGATTTCATTATTTTTAAATATTTTCTTAAGAATTTTTTCAGAAAGGGGGGATTAAGGGGCTTAGGTAACTATATCAGCTTAATATGTAATTATACTTTTCAGCACCTCGTACCCTTAAGGTGCAAGTGGAAGTTTTACTTGTTCTTAACCTTATTATATTTAATCAGAAGTATTAGAAATATTAGATCATCAAAATGATTGTGATATGGATGTGGTTTGGCTCAGTAATTAATTTAAGTTTATTATTATTCACCTCAGAATGTCACACGCAGCAATAAATTGATTATATTGAGCCTTAACGATCCTTATGAGTCCAGTACAGTTGCTATAAATAATAGTACACGCTTTAATAATAATGCTTCTATGGATGTAAAATACAGAAGAAAATGCGTTTCAGATTAGGTTTGTCACAGATAATTTTTCTTTAGGTAAATTTTTTCAGTAATATTATTTTTTAACTAATGATTTGGATACTTAATAAGCATTTAATCCATAAAAATATATGTGTTTCATCATTACTTGGGCATCATATGAACTTATTTTTTTGTTTGTTTTATTATACTTTTTAACAATTAGTAGTCTTGCACATTTCGTTTTTATCTTTAACTACAATGGCAATTATTTTATTATTTTAATATTTATTATTATCATTTTCTAAACAATTAAACTCATCCTACTTAATTGCACAACCAGATTAACCGGTTTAGTGAAATTCCTGAGATTATATTGAGACAAAATCAACAATGTTTGGTTTTAACCTTTAAAACTAGCAGTAAACAAAAAATTATCTTGATGGTAAATTATTATATAATTACTATAGTGACAGGTCACTTTATACGATAAAGGGTTAGAGCAAATAAATTAGATATAATATAATTAATAACATATGTACAAACAGTTGCAAGTTACAGATACTAAAAATGAATACATAACCTTTATCCATAATATACAAACAATATTGATCAACAATTATATTTTTGACTTAGAATACCTTTGAGGCTAATACATACCACACCTAATGAATAAGTTAGGGTGAACTAAGAGGATAAATAATCTCTCACCTCTCTTACCTACAATGAAAAGTAGGCTAACTTTTCTTTAGCAAAGAGTGATAATCTCCCTTACAAAGGAGATCATGAGATAAAATGGTGTCAACAAAAAAAGAAAACTATCCTGGAAATGAAATCAAAGACAAAAGCCTTTCCTACATCAATTTTTCAAAGTATTTTACAAGAGAGTTACTACAACAAAGAAACAATATTGAATGAAAGCAGTTTTGTGATAAACATTTGTTAAGGAAAGCCTACTCTTCAGGCACAAAATCTAAAGAAAATGATTTAATAACTAAAATCAACCTAATTTTAGAGTGGTTGCTTCTTGAAGAGCGGCTATCCACCTGAAAATAAAGGTTGGTAGTTAGTTTGAGTATATCCAAAGAAATGCCAAGTGCATCTTAGGTGGCGAATATACATTAAAAGGGTTAGCAAAAACACAAACTAATAAATTTGTTTACACTCTAAGCCATTGGAAATAAGTTATTTGTCAGTTATGCCGTGTCTTAAGAGTTTTGTTGGGGAGCGAACTATTCTAGTGGTAGAGTGGGACTTAAGAATTTTGCCGAGTGGCAACTATTATCTTCTTATTGTTATATGACGATTATCAGTTGCATATGATTTTACTATCAGTGGAAAAAGTTGGTATGGTGTCTTGGCAGAGTCTCAACAATCTATTGATCAAGTTAATAATGAACTATGTAATCTTAACTTACTATTGAATAAAAATAAAACCACGATAATCAATTTTAAGTGTAAAGATATTTCTAAATTAAATCATTCGTATAGTGCGCAGCTTCAACTTTCTGATAATACTACTTTTTTGGGCCTACAATTAGATCATATTCTTAACTGGACAAAACATGTTGAGAAAGTATGTTTTAAAATTAATTCAGGCAATTTTGCATTGAGAAGACTGGCCCCTTTTTGTAATTTGGACTCATTGAAATAAGTTTATTATTCGTTAATTCATTCACACATTCTTTATGGTATAGAGCTTTATGGCGCAACATCAATTATTAATCTACAAAGAATCCTACATTTTCAAAAAGTTGTAATTAGGACTATGCTTAAGCTTCCTGATGATGATCATTTTTGTAATCTGAAAATTATGACTGTCTTTAGTCTTTATATATATAGAACAGTATTACATGTAAAAAATAAACGGTATCAGCATTCTGACACATACTTTCTCCCATAAGTTTGTCAACAACCTTTATTGTGTGTAAGCGGTGAGAGTATATATACGGAAATGGGATTTGTACAATTTTGTTAAGAATTTAAATGACTATAAAATACTAAATTTTTATCAAAATCGTTCAGGCCATTTTTGGGAAAATCCAATTTTTCTGTTATTTTATGGGGTTTTTATGGGAAAATAACATAATTAATTTACAATAACTTTTGAACCGCATTTTTTACAGAAATGGGATTTGTACAATTTTGTTCAGAATATAAAGGACTATAACATACGGTACTAAATATTTATCAAAATCGTTCAGGCCATTTTTGGGAAAATCCGATTTTTCCGGTTTTTTGTGGGGTTTTATGGGAAAATCCCCATTAAATCTAAATTTCAAAAAAATGAAAAAAACTATCAAAATTGTAAGGACCATAATATACTATGTTGAATCAAAACCGGATTTTTTTCTAAAATCCTATTTTTTGTTATTTTATGGTGTTTTTATGGGAAAATAACATAATTTACTATAACTTTTGAACCGTAATTTTTACAGAAATGGGATTTGTACCATTTTGTTCAGAATTTAAAGGGCTACAACATACTAAATTTTATCAAAATCGTTCGGGCTATTTTTGAGAAAATCCTATTTTTCCGGTTTTTATGGGGAAATCCCCATTAAAAATCAAAATTTCAAAAAAATGAAAAAAACACCTGGAGATACCACGGATTAGAACCTACATACCAAATTTCATCGAAATCAGACCACAGGTGTAGTCCCTAGCTCTGTACACATCCAGACACACAGACACACACACACACACACAGACATCACTTCGAAAACCACTTTTATGGGTCCAGGGGGACCCAAAACGAATATATCCACTCAAAACTCAAACTCGAAAATTTTGACGAAAACAATACTTTCTCCATATACTATGGTATAGGGGGAGAAAGTAATAATGAAGAGACTTTGCCAAGACAACAAAATGTTCACACATATAATACAAGTAATCGGGAAAATTTTCAAATTAATATTTCAAAAAAAGCTAGGTTAGATATTCACGTAATCTTACTTTCACGTTTTACAACCATCTTTTCCTTTTTAATCGACGTATTTTCGTTCCAAAATTGGATTTTAAATTTTAAATTACTTAAATTTTGCCGACTTGATTCCAGGCCCGCCAGTTTCTGCCTGCCATTGATTAGCGGTAGCTGTCTTTCGATTTGTTTTCTAAATCAATTATCAATTAGCTACGAAATTAGACTTGTTCCGTTTCGCTCAATGAATAATTATTACGTATGTTTATTTTAGTTCCGGTAATTTGTCGTTTTAATACACCAACACATGTCGTCCGAGTTCTAAAGAGGTCTTTGTAGGGTGAAAGAATCAAGTCTTGGGAGTGGGCCGATTTGAACAATTAATTACCAAGGATAATAGTATTAAATTTATTTTGAACCATCTCACGCTAAATTATTCATTTAAATATTTTTAATTAGGCCCTGACGACTCTGTAGGGATTTTTACACTATATTTTGTTCATTCGATCGTCACACTTTTATTTATTTTACCAGAGCCTTTAGTTAATTGTTTTAAAGCTTAATAGGAGTATTTTATCACATTGGCCCAGATAGAATATAAAATGGTTTAGGTTACCTTTTGCGTCGAACGATCCTTGTGTAGTAATTGATAACTACAGCTGTTTCATGCCGCTGGGGCACATCTTCAGGTTGTAGAGCGTCAAGATAAAATAGCTGTCATCCGTGGATGATTTTGTCGAAATAAATATTACACAGAAAACACAAATAATGAAACATTTAAATACACGAATTTAACAAACTTGGCCAAGTGACAAACTGACAAACACGCAAGACAGGCGCCGGTGAATGTTGCGTCATGACTGCGGGCGTGTGTCCAAGCATCAGCTGTTACCCCCTCCCCCCTACTCCTTTATCAGGACCTGTTTTGTTTTGGTCTAGTTGAATGGCAGTATTGTAAATAATGTTTGATCTGAATGAAGTTTGTTCATTTAATAGATGGTCAGGGTGTTCTTTGGATGCCTTGTAAATTTCGAATTCCTCTATTGTGTCCATATATCTGCCTTTATTGCATAAATGCATAATTTCCAAATTATTATGTATATCTGTGTAGTTGTGGTTTGAGTTGATAATGTGGTTGGCAAATGCTGATTTGGAGTTCTTTTTGGGTAGATGTTCTTTAAATCTAGTAGCGAACGAGCGAGCAAAAAGAACTCCAAATCAGCATTTGCCAACCACATTATCAACTCAAACCACAACTACACAGATATACATAATAATTTGGAAATTATGCATTTATGCAATAAAGGCAGATATATGGACACAATAGAGGAATTCGAAATTTACAAGGCATCCAAAGAACACCCTGACCATCTATTAAATGAACAAACTTCATTCAGATCAAACATTATTTACAATACTGCCATTCAACTAGACCAAAACAAAACAGGTCCTGATAAAGGAGTAGGGGGGAGGGGGTAACAGCTGATGCTTGGACACACGCCCGCAGTCATGACGCAACATTCACCGGCGCCTGTCTTGCGTGTTTGTCAGTTTGTCACTTGGCCAAGTTTGTTAAATTCGTGTATTTAAATGTTTCATTATTTGTGTTTTCTGTGTAATATTTATTTCGACAAAATCATCCACGGATGACAGCTATTTTATCTTGACGCTCTACAACCTGAAGATGTGCCCCAGCGGCATGAAACAGCTGTAGTTATCAATTACTACACAAGGATCGTTCGACGCAAAAGGTAACCTAAACCATTTTATATTGCAATTTTCGATCCAGAGGCTAACCCATCACCAGATAGAATACTCGTGTACCCTACAAAGTGGATCTAAAAGTTAGGCAAAATTTCCCAAAACATTTTAACAAAGGTGAGGATGATAAAGCTTCAACTGAGCGACTGCAGGAAATCTAATAAATTGTTCAGTCAAAGCCGTGACAACTTCGTATCGACCCCTGGATTTTTCTCGGCTCCTTCTGAGCACTCGGGGGAAGAAATTTGAGTATGGCTGGTTCTAGGGGTAGGCCTAGCCTGACTTTGGTGAATACTAGTTTATTACCCTCCTAGAATTTTATGTTACAGCATATTTCCCGGTATTTTCACGGCGGTTAAAATTCACACATAATTCCCCTTTTTCCTGAAATTCCCGGTCGCTGACAGCCCTGTTGATGTGACTTAAAAGATGCTATAGTTTACAGTAAGATATTCTTAGGTTAAAGTCAGGGTATATTACAGAAATACATATTTGAAAGCAGAAAACTTTTGTCGGTGGCTAAATTCAATTACATTAAATTTCATTCAAAAACTGGTCACAACTTCATCATGAGAATGCGATGCCTAATATTTTATGTAGACTAGGATCAACAAACCTGTCAGCAGAATTACTGTCCGTAGCAAACACTAGAGGAGGTTGGCCAGGGTGGACCAACTTGAAAAGCACTTTGGAATCTGCATTTGCACCTTCATATTCACTCTGAAATTACACAAGAACCAATCAAATTGTGATTTAACTAATTTTACTAAACCGTAGAGTGTCGATGATTCAAGACCTAAGTCAGCCACTGCAAAGTATGACAAACTAAAGAGTCACATATAACAGAAAATCACATTATTTTTCAAAACCAATTTTTCTAGGATTCTTCATTGTCAAGACGATTAAAGGCTTCAAGTTTACTTTTTTTCAACCCACAATTTTTTCACTTTGAAACTACTTTGACAAATAACAAAAGGCTACTTATAAAGAAAAACATCACTACTGTAATTGTAAAAATAAGATAAAGCAACAGTTGCCACACAGCCACAGGTTTCTTTTCGCACTGTGTGGTATAGATGGACTATGGTGTTCAGTGTTTGATAAACAATCAGAATTTGCACTAAAGCACAAGTGCCTAAAGCCTGGTGTGTATCTTTTGAATATTATACCAACAAAGGTGACAAAAGTAGTTGTCTCAATGTATCTGCAACAATGTACGGTTGGTTGTACCACATGGAAGCACATGATTTTTTGTTACTCGATCCTCCTCGAGGAGGATTATACAGAAGGTCAGTAAGACAAAAATTGGATAGTCAATACTCTACTGTATCAATCACAATTTTGAATCATCACAAATCCTCAGATAAATCCAGTTTGAAATGGTTTAATAAGTCCTTAGAACTAAAGTTGTCAAAAATAATTGTTTATAATCTATCATGACATACACTCATTTATTTTCTCACAAGAAACCCCATAAAATTGGTGGATAAGCAGATTTCTCACTTATTACTGAGCTGGAAGTGGTCCCAGCTGTTCTATAAGAGGCTATCAACATTCTGAAATAGTTACAATCTCACCAGGTTCGTGGGTTAGCCAAAATACAAATTTCTTGAAACCCATATAAATATTTGAAAATATTTAAAACCGATTAAAATTGTTTTAATTTTTTTGTTATGCTAGTAATTAAGCTTCCATGGTACACTTAACTACAATATCAAGGTCTTCAGTGTAAAACTGTGTAAAATTGAAAATAACTAAGGTTGATGTTTCAATCATGTAATTATTGCTCTGAAGCTGGCCTTCTGCAACAAGGTGGAAAAGTTGCACTTAAAAAAAAATTGTATTGGAAAAATAATCTTATACATTTTTACAGGATTAATATTTGTCATCAAATTCTACAGAGAAACAACTGGATGCTTATATTACTTTCTACCCATTCATTTCTCTGATCTTGGTTATTTTATTTTTTATAATTAAATTAGCATAAAAACTCAATGTTTTAAGACTTTCACTCTGAGATAATAACATGACAGACAAATTAAGCTTTAACGAAATGCACAAAACTTTTAGGCAAAAAATCTGCAAAACCGTTAGATAGAAAACACCACAAGGTATTAGCAACTGAGTCATTGCTGCAGTAAGTAAGAATACAACCACTAACTAGAACATCACTACAACATAACAGCAACAGCCCAAATATAAACATAATATCTTATGTTTTTGTAAAGGCTTATTTATTTCAATACTGGTTGAAAATGTTTAAGGAATATCACACTACCGTACTGAAAGTAAACTTTCCTTATGTTTTATTTAGAGATCTAGGTAAAGAAAAGTGTGGTTAAATCCTACTGTTATGAAAAAAAACGGCTTGTGCCCAACAATATGACGCTTCAAGGCAGCACCATTTCTCAATGAAGCTTGGTGCCATTTTGACTATGTTAACAAACCAGAAAGTTACTATTGGGACCCAAAATATTTGGTTGTACAGATTCACCAACAGCCTTGACATTAGTTAAAAGCTAATGTTTGTTCAAACTACCATACCGTACCAGAAACAGTCATGATTTATTATAACTACATAATAGGCATAATGCGTAGGCATATTAAGAAGAGGCGTTGCATATTTAGGTTAAATACAGTCATCTTGCTGTGTGTTGTTTTCCTAAACTTAAATAATTTTGAAATGAAAGCTAAGTACACACTAAGATAAAAACAAAAATGATTACCACTGTACACAAAATCAGTTGATCACCAATGATGTAAATAAAGTGATAGATAAAAAATATGTATGCAGTGTTTCAAACTTTTAACTTATATAATTTTGGATATGGATTTTCTGTTAACTCTGAAATGGTAGCATTTTAAAAGAGTATTTCCTGGATGTGGATAATAAAACTTACATCAGGCATTTTCTCCAGTTTGTAGCCCAGTACAGGTATACTGTGGCTGGCTACCACATCCTCAGAGGCACGGTAGGCGTACAGGACTTGTTCCTTCAGTACGAACCACAGTCTTTTCCAGCTGGTGCGAGACTTACGCAGTAACCATCCATTCATCTGGGACTCACTGTCAAAGGCTGGCACCTGTAATGCAATGTTCATTATCTGTAGTCCAAAACGTTGTCGGCCAAATTATACTGGCTATTATGCAACGGAACTAGTTTTTTTTTTACTTAAGATGGGGAAAGGAGCAAATTTTGTTTTAAAAGGAGTTTAAAGGCAAAATAAAATGGATCGTAATATAATGGATAGTGAATGGATAATGTCATATGTGGGAAATTTACAGCTTGCTGTGATAACTGTTGAGCATGGATGGTAAAATAAACCTTCAATTTGTGCTTTAAAAACAGAGTATAATGTTCGAACAGGGTTTTATAAGTAAAATGTGTATTCAAGAATGTGAGCTTATTATGGCCATTGAGACTCTGATCAGTCAGAGTCATGATAATGACTAGTGAAACTGGTGGACAATACTGGTGGTCGATCAACATTGTAACATCTATAATATCATCTTAAGTGTGAATATATACATTTTGTGTAGAAGACATATTTATTAAATTCACATACGTCAACCTTAGTTTTATTAAGTTATGATCTCATTTTGTAATTAACTATGACTGTTTTTCTTATGCTTGTAATGCCTGACTTCTGCATCCGTGGGTTCAGCTGCTCTAAAATATTTTGTTTTCATATTATTTTTGATTACCTATGAAAGTTCTATCTTTAGATAAAATTTGATTCATTTTTCCTTAAATGAAATAGTAAAATGTGCATTTGATATGGGATGTGGCGTTTTAAAATATTAACAATTCACTCAGTAGGAAATGTGCTAAACTCTACACAGGACACACCCTTGTGGGTTCAACTTCAACTTTTCAATCCTTTTGGCTGACAATGACAGCAACCTGAAGTGAATATCCATGATCACTGAGTGATATAGAATAGCATAGGTCTACGCTACAGGTAGGGATAAGTACAAGTCACGTAAAAGATCTAGGCATCTAAAACATGCTAAAATAGTTGAGAATGAAACTTGGCAATGTAGCCCAACTAAAACTTAAGGGGGCTAAGGGAGTGCGGTAGTTCCTAGGACAGCCAAGGCTGCTTAAATAGAACTGAGGAACTACTTCATTCCCAGGGGCATCAGAAATGGTGCTCAAGACCTTCCGAGAAGGCCAGTACAAAATGAAGTGCTGGCCTGTGTAGTACTATGACTGCATCGTTTACGTTGTGGTTCCTTTCACACTAATCTCGGCGGATCTAGGCTGGAGTCCCGAATGACTTGGGGGCAGCAGCGTCACCAGTACTGGGTGTTCGTAACTAGTCTAGGACGTAGCTTGCTTCTCTGAGAACAGGACACTCACCCAGACGGTAAGTTATAGCAGGAGCTATGTCTGAGCACTGCGGGTCCTGGGCTAAGGTGGGATGCGACCTGTGCTGAGAATCTTGCGGCACTGGGGGCCTAATATTCAGTGTCTTTAACGTAAACTTCTGGGAACCAGGGAGAAACCAGTCGTATGAACCCCTTGCCTCTCTCATCTAGTCACTGGGGAGGTGGATCTTTAGATAACTTGTATTCGGCATGTGACCAGTGTAAAGAGCCTATTTTAGAAATAAAAGAAGTTATTAAATGTATTCGGCCAGCTTGTGAAAAAATATTTCACTATCATTGCACTGGATTAAGGGAGTCAGTTTTCAGTAAAATGTCAGAGGATGCGAAGGCTAAATGGTTATGTCTTAAATGCAAGGGATTAAAAAGTGAGAAAAAACCTTCAGGTTCGTCTACACAAGAAATAACTACTGTCGAGAAAGGTACTGAGGAAGGGTTCCCTGGGTATAGTACTGAAGATATTTTAAAAGTGTGAATAAAAAATTAGACCTGCCTTATTCGCAATATCTCTTCTGGGTTGGAGACATTAAAGGAGACTACGGCTGAGATCAGGTCTAGTCAAGATTTTTTGTCAGACCAGTATAATAAATTTGAAAATGCATTAAAATGTTTGCCAATTATGGAGCAAGAGTTAAAAAGTTACGCGAAACTCTGGTAGAGAAGGATAAGGAGATCTTGGAGCTGAAAATACAGGTGAATAAACTTGAGCAGTATGGAAGAAATAAAAATTTGGAGGTGAATGAGGTAGCGGAAGTTAAAGATGAGAGTGTGGAAGAAGTGGTTATGAAAATTGCCAAAAAGTTTGGGGTGCAGTTAGAGGAGAGGGACATTGAAATTGCTCATTGTTTACCTAAAACAAAAACTGAACAACGGCCTGCTAATATAATTGTATAGCTTGCCAACAGAAAAGTACGTAGTAGGCTATTGGAGGCTAGGAAGAAAGTTGTAACAAATGCAGAGGTTACAGGACATCATGGTGGAAGAATCTACATCAGCGAAAATCTTTCCTTTTACTACAGAAACCTATTGAAGGCGGCTAAAGATAAGGCAAAGAGTCTCAACTATAAGTACATCTGGTATAAATATGGAGCGGTTCGGGTGAGGAAGGAGGATAATTCCAAGGTCATAGTAATTGATACAGAGGAAGATTTAGTTAAAATTAAGTAAGTTGTATTTTAGTTTCGTAATTATATTATGGCATATTTCTAGATGGCTGAAGCTATAAATGATGATGATGAGATAAAATCAGTTAGCTGCCAAGACATAGCAGAATTAATAATTTGCGCAAAGAAACACAACTTTGATAATGGTTTAACCTTTTTTTCATTTAAATATTGCATCTCTTAAAAAACATTGGAATGAGTTAATTTTGTTGTTTGACACTAGTTCAAAATTGTTTTGACAGAAGTAAATATAAAGGAGAGTTTAGTAGATATGTTTAACTTAAATGGTCATCATGTTTATTTTAATTTAAGAGTGAACAGTAAAGGTGGAGGTATTTGTGTTTTTGTTAAGAAGGAATTTTTCCTACAGTTACCCGACAAAGTTTGGCTTCCTTGTACTGTTTATAGTACAGAAAGCTGCTAATTGCTGCATATTTATACTTTGCCGTATGGTTTATACTTTGTCGTACGGTTTATACTTTGCCGCACATCAGGACTCCAACTCTCTTTGGTAATCAGATCCATGTTAAGAGGGAGTTCAAGTACCAAGGAATAACACTGGATGGTAAGCTCACCTGGAACAGCCATTTTGAACATGTAACGCAACGCTCTCAGACCACAATTATGATGATGAGAAGGGCTGTTGGAAAGACCTGGAGTCTAAGCCCACAAATGACTAACTGGCTATACACTAGGGTTGCAAGACTGATGATGGTGTATGCAAATTACATTACACTAGGGTGTCGTCTGGTGGACCAAGGTAATGCAAACTACTGCTGAAAAGAGACTACAAAAAATTCAGCGAGTGGAATGCCTTAGCATCACAGGAGCCATGAGAGGCACTCCAAATGCAGCCCTGGAAGTAGTGCTACACCTGCCACCTCTCAACATCATTGTGAAAGGAGAGGCAAGAATGGCAGCCTACAGAATGGCTTGCAGTGGCAACTGGAAGTATAATGCCTGGAAGTATAGTGAGCATACGAGAGTTGTGGACAAGGTGCGCATGGACACCTTGGAAATTTTACCAGACAGGATGGTGAATATCACAGATCTAGAAAAGCCATACAATGTCAACATTGTTGACAGAGCTGCGTGGGATAGAGGTGAACCTGAATACATGAAAAGGGGGATCACTTGGTGTATGGATGGCTCAAAAAAGCCAACGGGCACTGGGGCGGGAATATATGGATTCATACCTAAGGTGCAGTTTTGCGTAAGCCTGGGGAAACTGGCCACTGTATTCCAGGCAGAAGTTGTTGCTCTGTCCGAGTGTACAAGAGTGTATTTGAAGTCGGGTCTGACAGGCGACATACGTGAACTCGGACAGCAAAGCAGCACTAATGGCACTTGACAGTTTTGACTTTACCTCTAAGGCAGTATGGGACTGTCATCAGGCCATGAAAACCCTGGAAAAGAACAACAAGGGTATCCTCAGTTGGGTTCCAGGACACAAAGGTATTGCTGGCAATGAGGGAGCTGACAAGTGGGCAAACTAAGGAGCTGAAAACCTGCTCATGGGTGCAGAGCCGACGTGTGGTATTGCTTACAACACAGCGCAGAGAGCTGTTTGCCAATGGATGGGCATAGAAATTCAAAGGAGCTGGGAAAAATCAGAAGGCGACAGTCAGAGAGATTGCTGCTGACACCCACTGGTGCTATAGTGGCCGGTGCCCTTGGGCTGAATAGGAAGACCCTGCGGAAGGACCCTGCTGATGGCTTCATCAGTGGCCATTTGATATTCCACAGACATCTACACAAGATGGGAATTCAAGTTAAAAGCCTCTTATGTAGGAAATGTGGAGAGGAGGAGGAGACAGTTTTCCACATGATATTTATTTGCCCAGCCCTACAAGATCTGCGTATGAGATTCCTTGGTCTATCATCTGGAGATCACAGGGAAGAACAAGTTACCATAAATAACTTCTTGATCAGCGTTGTACGTGTTATTAAATTTACGGAAAGTAAATAAAGATACGTCTTATAACACTTGAAACATATATTTACGCTTATACTGTTACTCACAAGATGGTAAATATACAAAAGATGGTAAGTGGTGATCGATTTTGATTGGACACTCCAATCATCATTCAACATCCCAGGGGGAGTAACAGTATAAGCGTAAATATATGTTTTAAGTGTTATAAGACGTATCTTTATTTACTTTCCGTAGGTTACCATAGTCAAAAGGATCTCATGGTTCACCAAGGACCTGGGATTTGACGGAGAATGAGGACCTGTGACTGAGGGTGCACAATAAACTGTTTCAGCTGCGATGCAATCCCATGGTCACTTGTAAGCCCGGCCCACGGTAAAAAAAAAAATCAACCTAGGTCTTAACTACTGTATGCAAAAAATTTAAAAAAAGTTAGGATAAGTCTACTCAACTTTCTTCCTAAAAAGGAAGTTGAAATATATCCTGGACATACCTATAGTGTGTAACGGGTCAAATGTGTAGGGGGTAAAATAACGGCTAAACCACAAAACTTAAACAGCTGAATGTAAGCTGTTGTTGAGCCCTAGTCGCGACGCTAAACTGACATCGTACCTAACCTCAAATTCCAAGACCGCAGACGACGTTGGTGTCAGTTTGGTTGTTTGGTTGTTCGACGGCGTCTGAGGAAGGGCTACGGGAGAAAAGAAGAGCAGCGGAGCCACCTTGTGAGTGGTACACGGCTATAAGCAAGCATGTTGAAGCTGTGATGCGCTTGCCTTTGCCGGCACGGGACTCAGCTGACTCTGTTTGTGCTGACCAATCAGGGAGCGTTTTAACCTTCATCTTGAACCTGAGACGAAGGTGAAGAGAGAAGAATAAGGATTGTCATTCGGATTCCCGGCCTTTTAGGCATTCGTTCGTTCGTCTTCGATTTGAAGAGATTTTGTTCAACTTCTTCATCGTTTTAAAGTTACGTTTCGTCAAGCTCTGAAAGCTTGAGTTCCGTTTTAAAGTTTATGTTTGTGCATCGTGTGCGCGTAAGATCGTTGGAGTAATATTTTTCATCGTAGGTAAGTTGCGCAATTAACAACTTAGGTTTTCGCATATTATTTCTCCACCAGTTCTGTTTCGACAAAACTTCACTGAAAGTTTGTAGGCTAGGCCTGATTTGCAGACGTAGTCATACGCCTTAACCAACAATTTGAATAGTTAAGTACTGCAGTTGGTGACATAGCTTTTTAATTAACGTTTCTTAATCTGTCTTGGGACTTTCTTTTTTAATTCTTAAACCCCTTTTTAAAGTTCCCCAAAAGTCCCCAAGGTTGTTCCAGCAGACAGGTTTCTGCTGGACAATTTTTGTCGAAGTTGGTTCAAGTTGAACACGTGAGAAAGTTAAAGTTTTAGTTTTTCGTTTTCATCTCAAGGAGCAGTTTTTTTTTAGTTTCAGTTTTCTCGTTTTGTTTCTCACTTGGACAACTTAAGCCAACTTGGTTTTTTTGGTTTAATAAATTCGGACTCTGTGGGAATTAGGCTAGGCTAGGCCTATTTTATACTAACCTTGTTTGTTGCAGGTTGACGACTTAACTCTGTAGGTAAGCGGGGTGACTACTTAGCTTACTTGTTGTCTCGTTAAGTTAGCTAGTAGAGTGTCATTTAGATATTTGTCCACAGAGTCAAGTTAAAATTATTAATTTCCCCACAAGCCCAGGACTAGAGTGGTGATTTCAAGTGTGGTGTTTGGTAACCCGCAATGTTCGTCTCGAGCTCTGATAACCAGGGCTATCAAATTTAAGCTATTCAAATCACTATCGAATCCTGGGAAAATCCCCGCGACCAGACTTGGGCGATTCCTGGGATCTCATTTATCGTATCTGTGGCGTAATTTCCCACGTGTCACCAGCCAGGAAAATTACGTCACAAGTGTGTATACGGTAAGTTGGTGAACGGGACTAAAACTTACCTCCTTTAGCCTTTGAGGAATATTTCTTTTCTTTCCTGTACTTGTCTTGTGGCCAATCTTCTTAAACAAACATTTTATCTCTTGCACTTTTTCTGGAACTTCTTCATCAGTCAGGCGCAATTCTTTCTTGACAACTTCTGCCATATTAGCCGCAGGGTTGTCCATTTCTGTAATTAGTTTTATCCATGATAGAAACATATTTTCTCATTGGAGAAACATCTAGAACACGCAGTTCTTTTTCATCCTTATAAAGGGGGTTTCAGAACTGCCAACCAATATTTTAACTTAAATTATTTTCTCACCTTAAAAATAACCACTAAACATATTACAATATTTTTTCAAGGATGCAAAAAACAAGCCTAACAATAAAACAATCACAAAAATTACCTAAGATATAACTGAGTAACATAAAAATAAAAACTATGTAAAACAGCAGATATTCCCACAAAAAACTGCCCATCGCAATGTCTGCAAAAATAATTTTATAATTTTTGTAGCCTACAAACTTTTTAATGTAGTTTACTTGTTAATCAAACAATTTCTTTTATTATAGTATCAGAAGAGTGTCTCTAGTTAATGATAAGGCAGTCACTGGGTATTTCCCATCAAATAAAAGCATTTTTAAATTTTTTGGGTCCATTTAAGTCCATGTAAAACATTAAATGCATCACAAGTTCAAAGTTTCACTTAAAGAAAAACTGTACAATTTTAAAACTAATTAAAAAGTTATCCAATTATTCAACCCATTGATTTGTTTTTTCAGTAAATATATAATTAATAACATTTATATTATTCTTATTAGTATATATCTTATATATAAAAAAAAAAAAAAAAAAAAAATAGCTAAGGAATAACTGAGCCACATGATAAAATAAACAACCAACAATAAAGACTGAGTTAGTAACTAACAGTATAGACCTATAAAAATGTATACATTGTATATCAGCATGGTAAGATTATTTAAGATTTGTCATACATTTTTTAAACAAGTTAGTTATGACCAGTTTTCTTTATTTTGGTGTCATAAGATTCTCAACAGCCTTATTCTTGATTCAAACAGGTATAAAAAGACTAAAAAGTTAAGTACAATGAGGAACGTACCAATCATGAGATATTTGTAGCACTCTACACATACTCGGTCCGAGTTGAAGTGTAAATACTGCATCGGAGCATTGTAGTCCGAACAAACACTGCAAACCACCTAAAGGAACCATAGCCTCTATAAATGCACTGGATGCAAAGTAAAAATTCAGACATTTATGAAATCAATTGTATTTATCATTGGGTACAACTTCAATATTCCTAAAGGGTTCCAATAGAAAATTTCCCCTACTGCTGTTGTACATATCCAGCAAAACATCGTGATTTTTCAGGGCATTCGGGATATTCAGATAAATAAAAGATCAACTAATACATATTTTACTAAAAGCCCAAGGACACTTTTTTACTTTATAATGTAAAAAAAATAGCTTTCATGTAGTCACAAAATACTGAATATTATGTAAAACACTGTAAATTCTATGGCTCAATATTTCCCACTTTTGATCCTTATGTTTGCGCATACTATTGATTGATCAAATGAACTTTTAAGGTGTGAATGATATTACCTTCCCACATGCTCGACAGTGGTGTCTGCGGAATGTGATGGTGAACTCTGCTGTACATATCTGACACATGGTGACTCTCTTATCCTGAATCCAGACAGGAGCCTACCAAAACAATAAAATAAATAGTCTTTGCAGTTCCACTTTTTAATATATGCATTTACCAACCCTCTTTGCATGTGTCATAATAACAGAGCTAAGCCAATAAGCTGAAATACAACAGTGCAGCTAATCCAAACTACCTGTTAAGAAAACAAATGTACAGTATTGCATTTTAAATAAGAACAAAGCTATGTTTTTTAAATGCCGACAATGGTGTTTAGCCAATAGGGAAAACCAGGAATCATACGTGAATTTTGATCACCAGGAAAAAGTTCTGAGATTTGTACCTGAATTTAATATGAAAGTGTAATATTTAGAATAGTTAAAAAGCTTCTTAATCAGCATTATAAGTGTTATTAAATTTATATAAAGCTAATAAAATAAACGTCTTATAACACTTAAAACATATATTTACTTCCGCAATAGCTGAAAAATTGTGAATATCTCCCTCAGTAACGGAAACATCACCACTGTCTTCTGTGGTCGTGTCAAAATTGATATTGTACCTGATATTGTTCAGCAGTAACGGATACATTATAATCGTCTCTTGCAATCGCAGAAAAGTTATAATCATCTTCCGTGATTGTAGCTTAATGCTAATAATTTACCCCAGTCATCATCGTCAAGCAATAATTTTTGGACATCATCATCATCTCTTGCGGTTACGGAAACGTCATCGTCGTCACCCGCGGTCATGGAAACGTCATAGTCGTCTCCCGCGGTCTCGGAAAAATCACTAACAAATCCCGCAGCCCTTTGGAGTATGACATCATCATCATCTCCCTCGGTCATGGAAATGTCATCTTCATGCGCGATAGCGGCAATTTGAAAATTCCCCGTAAAGTACTAAATTCACACATAATTCCCGGTGTTTTCCCGTTTCAATAAGTTGATGCAGCTGGTAATGTGTCAGATTGCTTGGAGGTTAAATCCGGAGTGCCACAAGGATCAGTGATTGGACCATTGCTGATTATTTTAACCATAAATGACTTAGCTTTTAATGTGATTGATTCACCCAATGTTATATTTTCTGACGATACAATGTTTTTAAGTATTCACCCAGATTCAGACTTGTTAAGATCAAAGGTAGAACATACTCCAGACAGAGCTAAAATGTGGTTTAGCTCAAACAGCCTTCTCTTGAACATTGACAAGACTCAGAATCTCCTCTGTACACTTAAAACTAGTCATCAAAACACAAAAAATAGCATCAAAATCCTTGGTGTTATAGTTGACAGTATCCTATCATGGGAGGCTCACATTGAATCTGTTTGTGTAAGATTGTCTAGAGCAATTTTCCTGCTCAATTCCATGATGAACATTGTACCTGATTCGTATGTTAGAACAGCTTATTTAGCATTTTCCAGTCTGTGATAAATTATGGTCTAATTCTCTGGGGAAATAGTTGTTATGTTAGTGAAGTTTTATAAATCCAAAAAAGGCTCTTAGAATAACTAATAAGGTGTATTTTACCGATCATTGTAAACCCTTGTTTAGTAATAGTAAAATTTTGACTGTGATAAATCTGTATATATTTGTTTGTTTAGTAGGCCTACATGTAAAAAAAGATTATAGCATAGGTTCTTTAGTTTTCAGATCAGACTTACATGAACACAATACCAGAAAGCAATCCTTACTTAAGTTACCCTAGGTTAAGTAAATGTCAAAGTAGCTTTAATATTGTTAATCTTAAGTTGTTTAATAAACTAGATGAAAGCAGCAAATCCCTGGACCAAAAAGTATTCAAAGTAAGGTTATATGACTGGCTATGCGAAAATCCCTTTTATAGCCTTAGTGAATTTCATGACTTTAAAACGGTTAAAATGTAGACGTTGACTCTGTATATTGTATAATTGTAATGTATCAACTTGACTTTGTCTATTACATGTCTGTTATGCTGAAGGACAATAAACACATTCTAATTCTGATTCTAATCGCAATTCAGAAACAAAACCATAAAATTGTTGAATGTTTACCTCTCTACCAATCTTGAGTGACTCGTTGGAAGAGGTCATGGGGTCGACTTTCTTGAATGTCATTTGTCGAGTATTGTAGTCCTTGATTGACATCTGCAATGCTTCCACCCACGCACTGCATTCCTCCTCATTCCTAAACAAATACATAATCAAAATGAATTATCTTTATTCGCATTGTATTTACAAAGGTATATACATGAATAGTGCCCAAACATATTACAATATTGCAATAATTTACGGATAGTTTTATACATTTATATTTTTTATAATTCATTTTGATAGCCCCAGGATTGTGTTTTATGACAAATTATGGCTGAACATACCTCGTCAAACAATCCTTAATATGGTTTGAAACTTGCTGTATATTTTTTGAGCGTTTTTTTATAACTCTGCCATAGTCAGGCTAACAAAAGGATCCACTACTTGAATTGTTTTAAGAATAAGTTAAACACATTTCACACATAGCACAAAAACGATAGGCCTATCAATGCAATGACACTGGTGTACATTGCTAGGTGCAGGACTGGAAGCAGTCTGAACAACGATAGGCCTATCAATGCAATGACACTGGTGTACATTGCTGTGTGCAGGACTGGAAGCAGTCTGAACAACGATAGGCCTATCAATGCAATGACACTGGTGTACATTGCTGTGTGCAGGACTGGAAGCAGTCTGAACAACGATAGGCCTATCAATGCAATGACACTGGTGTACATTGCTGTGTGTAGGACTGGAAGCAGTCTGAACAACGATAGGCCTATCAATGCAATGACACTGGTGTACATTGCTGTGTGCAGGACTGGAAGCAGTCTGAACAACGATAGGCCTATCCGCCCATGTAAAGATATCATAGTTAAGCCACTAACAAAAATAATAAATAAGTCGTTTTCACAGGGCATTTTCCCCAACAAAATAAAAACATCAAAGGTTGTACCTATATATAAGAACAATGAAAAAGACATAGTTAAGAACTACAGGCCAGTAGCAGTACAAAGCGTTTTTTCAAAGATTTTTGAAATCATATTCTTAAAGAGATTATTCCCTTATTTGGAAGATAATCAAGTATTGAATCCCGATCAATATGGTTTTAGAAAAAACAAATGTACAACTGATGCAATATTTAATCTACTAATAAACATCTATGATAATCTTGATATTGTTGGCGAGCAGCTCTGTATTTTCTATGATATGACCAAAGCATTTGACCTCATTTCCCATGATACTTACTTACTGCCGTGGCTCCACAAATCTCAGTTGATTCTTCGTCTCGTGTACCAGCCTCTTCCACCCTTCTCTGTCTTCTGCCAAGTTGACACTTGCACCCATTGTCCTGATGTCGTTCAATACTTGGTCAGTCCATCTCAATTTCGGCCTTCCCAATGGGCGTTTACCTCCAGGTGTGGCTCTCCAAACTTCATACAGTCTTGTTCCTTTCTCTCTTCTTAGCACATGCCCTATCCAACTTAACCTTCTTCCTTTAACTATTGCAACAATATCTGGGTCGGTGTATAGTGATCTTAACTCTCTATTTTTCCTTATTCTCCACATTTGTCCCTCCTGTACTGGACCAAATATTTTTCTTAGTACTTTATTTTCAAACACCATGAGTCGGTTTTCATTTTTCTTGGACAATACCCATGTTTCACTACCATATAACAGAATAGGTTGAATTATTGTTTTGTATAACTGTATTTTGGTTCTGTGAGATAATACTTTAGATGAGATCAACTTCTTGCAGGCTCCCCAACACTTATTGGCATTTGATAACTTAGTTAGTATGTCTTCGTCTTCTGAGTTTCTACTATTTACAGTTACTCCTAAATATTTGAAACTTTCTGTACAATTTATAGTTAAGTTCTTTATCTGTATGTTTCTGTTTCTATTGTTTGCTTGTCTTCCAAAGTTAATGATTTTAGTTTTTTTCTACATTTACTTGCAATCCTATTTTGTTAGCTTCTGTAATAAGTACTTCTGCCAAACTTACCAAGTTTTCAACTGTTTCTGACAAAATGACTACATCATCAGCAAATGCTAAAATGTTTAGGTCTACTCCAAGCTTAACACCCAATCCTAGTTCTTTTGTTTTCTGCAGGGCTTCTTCCAGTGCTAAGTTGAATAGTATGGGAGATATGCCATCTCCTTGTCTTACACCCGTGTTGATGGAAAACTCCTCAGATAGATCTCCTTCCACTCTCACTTTGGCTTTTGAGTCCATTTCCAACAATATTCAACATTTCCCATGATATTCTTATAAAAAAGTTAATGGCTATTGGCATTAAAGGTAACGCCTTAAATTGGGTAGCATCTTATTTGAAAGACAGGAAACAAATTGTTAGTGTCAGGTATTCTGGGCAAGATGGTTTAAGTCGCCATTATCGATCGGCCACCTCATCTCCTGTAAACACCGGTGTACCGCAAGGTTCCAACCTAGGCCCTGTACTGTTCTTGCTGTTCAAGCATACATACAACAATACTCAGACAGGTTTAAAATTGTTACGCAATAAATGAAGACGAACTTCAACGAATGGAAACAATTTCATTGAAAAATTACACCTAGAAGAAATTAATTGGAACCAAACAATAAATACTCAAAATTTAAGAAGTTACTTAAGAGAAAAAGAATTTGAAAACCGGAAAAGCCTAAAACAGAAGAGTAAAGGTGTTGAACTTTTCCAGGATTATATTCCTGGAAATAAAACTATTATTAATAAAAAAAGCTTGTCAGAATCTAAATGGAAAGACAGAATAAAGATTATTGCAAATGTGGTGCCAGTGCATGTTCTCCACGGCAGAAGTCAGGGTAATAACCGCTGCAGTCATGCCTGTGGCAAGATTGAAATCCTTGCACATGCCCTTGGCTTCTGTCCTTTTGGTGAACTTCTAAGAAACACAAGACACCACAAAATCAAAAGTATTATAGCAAACGCCTTCCGAAAAAGATATAATACATGGGAAATGCATGAAGAAGTACAATGTCTTTCTTCTAACAGTAGCACTAGAAGAAGAGTAGATATTTTATTGATTGAAAGACAAACAAACAAAAGAATAATTCTCGATCCAACAATTAGTTATGAAATCAACCTAATGAAGTGAATAAGGAAAAGAAAAAAGTATAAAACATTTGAATATTTCAAAATTTCAAAAATGGAGGTGGTTGGATTGTTTATCGGTTCTAGAGGAACATTATCAATTTTTATTGTGAACTTTAGGAAACAATATAATTTGGACAGATCTTTTTTTTAAACTACTATCCATAAAACATTAAGAGGTTCATTAACTATAATGAGCAATCATTTATATGGCAAACATCAAAATTAATCAGTCTTATAGCTGTTATTATCCTTCAATATATGTGTATATTTTTTCTGTGTCATTGGCAACCTTATTTTTTAAGACAGATGTGTTTATTTTTATAAATAAATTTTTTCCCTCTTGATCAACCATGGTCAATAGATATCTCTAAAATAACGTTACATAACCTCATTATCCAAGAAAAATACCACGAAAACTCGTATAGTTGTATTTCATGAATTAATATGAATTTTAGAGTATTAATATGAATTGTATACTATTTTGATCCATTATTGATATTCTGTAGGCTCCCACATTATTTTATTGAATTATCCCATTTCATTTGAGAAAATAAAATAAACAAGAAGCGGAACAAATATCGACCGCAAACTTCAAAGTGACTTCACGCTTGTGCTGAAAATGATCTGCTCTTTACATATAGTCTTCTATGCGCTGTCACGTTAGCTAATGACGACATAACACTTTAGGTGGCTGTGATTGACAACTTGTTGAATGCGTGGATTAAGGGAAGCCTAAGAAGAAAAACAATACAGTAGACCCCCTCTTAACCGACCCTAATGGGACCGGACCTAGGTCGGATGACTCAAAAGGTCGGTTAAAACGGGCAATCCCTAAAATCATAACATAATTAATTGTTATTAATTTTGAATTATATATATAATCATTATTTTGAAGTCATACTTCTATTATTTATAAAATAAACTACTCTTATCTCCTTTTTTCCCTATTGATAGAAAAGTCATAAATAAACACTAAACACCGTTAAGTCAAATAGGCCTACTTTAATTGGAATAGATTATAGTACTAGGCAAGAGTCAATAAAAATTCCTATTTTAATAACTTTAGTTCTAACCCCCCTTCCCTGCCCTCCGTACAAGTTGCATTGTTTGTTTACTCTAGCGATAAGATAATCAGTTCTCAAAATCGTAACGCAGATAACAAATCAGATCAGGATGTGCTCGCATTATAAACGATGATGACAAACTGACAATATGCTATATTTTTTGTGATCAATGCAAAATAATTTATTCTTAGTCACATCCTGTGGAGATAAGCGTATGGTTCGGTTCTCATCGCCCAGCGTGGGAGCGGAAATGCCGAGATTCCTAGAAAGCGGCGGTTAAGCCGAGCTGCTCTCAAAGCAAGGTCGGTTAAAACAAACTGTGATATTTTACGATGGAAGGCGGATAATCCGATTATTGGTTAATACGAGGTCGGTTAAGAGAGGGTCTACTGTAACAATGTTTTTATTATGTAGTTGTTGTTGTTATCTTTATCTTATTTTAAGGTGTTGTTATTATTTTAAGGACTATATTTTATACTTTTACTGGATTATCTAATGTTTTATTGTCTGAAATATGGTTTGTTTTCAACTACGGAATTATTAATTATGGTTGATTATCGTATTATTATCCGACATTCCTCTGTTCTGAGCCTATCTCTAGTAGTAGCTTACTGGACTTTCTGTTTTAAAATTTTTTTAAGTCATTTATTGCTGTGCAGTGACAACCAAATTTTTGTTGGGTTTGAGGAAGCTGTGATTTTAAAATTTAAATAGAGATTGTGCAATACAGTATTGTATTACGGTGTTTTTACAGGCCTGTCATACATTTTTAATTTTTATACAATGTTGGACTAACTGTGGAACAGAATTTTATTTCTTGTTACAGACAAATCCGGATTTTTGACGTCCGAATTATTGACATTCTACTCATTCAAGTAGAGTGTAAACTGTAATTAATTTTCATATATTTCATGTTCACTTATTTTGATATGTTTTTTATTTTTACCATATTCCATCTGTGATAATGTTAGAAATTTTGTCCCTCTATGTTCATTGTTACACCTGTGATAACCATTACCCTCAGCTCACTTGGGTGAATCATATAGACAATCTTTGTGTGAAGCTTAGCAGGGTCATATACCTTCTGAGACGCCTAAAATTGGACACTCCTTCTGAATTTGTCAGGCTAGCATTTTTTGCTTTTTTCCAGTCCCACATACTCTACGGCACTAGGCTGTGGGGTCACTCACTAAGGGTGTATAACATTCTTCTGTTGCAAAAGCGAGCGCTGAGGGTGCTGTGTGGATCTCATCATCTTGCACACTGGAGGCCTCTATTTATGGCTTGTCCGATTCTGACTGTGTACAATGTATTTATATTTCAGTGTCTTGTAGCGATTAAATCAAATGAGCATGTTTATATTCTCAACTCAAATGTGCACAACTAATCCACTAGAACTTGTGGCAATTTGCTTATATCTAGATGCAGGCTTGACAAAGTACTGAAATGTTTTCCTGTTGCAGGTATCAGATTTTATAATAGAATCCCAATTCAGGTAAGACGGCTGCCAAGTCAAAAATTTTCCAAAATCATTAAAAACTGGCGTTAAGAAAACCCATTCTATAGCCTAAGTGAGTATATTGAATCAGATTTCTCACCAATGACGATTGGACTTGAATAAAGTGATTTATAGCAGCCTGTTCTTGCATGTCGTGTTTGGTATAAATCTTTTTCACTTATTTATATATATTTTAGTGTTTTCTGCAAGATGTTTGTGCATGATTTTATTTCATTATTATGGACTGACTATTGTACGTCAAGAGGACCCAAGAGGATTAATTTGTGACCTAGCCTACTTGTTAAATGTTAAACCAAGGGCAGCCTATATTTTGGATTTTTCATGTCTAATTTTAATATAAGTATTGCATCTTATATCTTTTTACAATAAAAATGACGATGTCAATTACAATAATGTATTGTTTAAAGGCTGAATAAATGACTATTCTATTAAACTAAGTTTATAAATATTTATTTAATCTCTCAGATAACTCACTTAGCTCGGAGAGTGAAGCTTCTGGTGCTCGTGATGATGCTGAACTCTGTGCTACAGTCTGTACTGTTGGCTCTAGTTACCTTCATCCCAGCCAGAGGCAGCTTGTTCTTCACCTTGAGTCCAGTCATGGACCCGTAGTATGATGTGTAAAGCAGGCAGTCGCTCAGCTGTGGGAAAAACAGGAACATTTAACTTTTGAGTCTTGATTATACAACCTAAACTAGCCCCAGAAAGGTCAGGTAAGAGGGAAAGAAACAATTGGAATCTTGTTCAAAATCATTAAATGGATCAAATGTCTCAGTTGTGGAACCTATATTGGGCCTCAAAGATGTATTTGATTGAAACCATTAACTTTCTCTATTTTAAAGCCATCATCCCAAATAACAGTTTCTCAAATCGACAAAATAAAACATTATTTTCATGGATAAGATACCATGGCTACATATTAAAGACTTGACTTTAGGCCACGAATGTGTAAAAATTGATGAAACACTGTCATTCACCGGTGCTTCAGTCTCAATTTAGCGAGCCATCTTTAAGCACTTGACTTGATTTCTCCGCAGTTGACATATGAAGTGGAGTTTGCATATTGAAGTCACAGGTTATATCAGGCAAGGAGGAAGTGAGGATGTGTCGAAGCAGTGGCGGATACATATAGAATATTTTTTGAAGGGGGGGGGGGGTGGTCCGAGATTAATTTAAGGTAGGTTAAGTAATTTCAAGTAGACTCGCCATAATACTTTATCTCAGTTTTGCTGCGGTAATTTGCGCTAAATGTAACCTTTACTTTACCAAGATTACAACGCTGAATCATTCCATTAAATCATAAAAATTTATCTATTCAAGCCAAATGAAGAAAATATCTCAATTACTAAATCATAAAAACATTGGTCAAGATTTAACGGTGTGACATCCTATCTGTAAACACTTGTCCGAACCTAACGACTAATGAGTCAAATACGCAATTGTGATTATCATATTCGGAGGAGTTCTAACTACTGTATAAGTATCCTTTTGTTGCAACTGCAAAACGTTAACATTTCAGTTAAATATATGTCTAACAGATGTAAATAACAATTTCATGGTGAGGTAGCCTCTGGATCACTAAATTTAAGCTGAATGGTTTAAGTTACCTGGCTTCGTCAAGTGATCCTTCTTCAGTATTACACTACTATAGTTTCGGAATTGAAAATAAGTCCATCTTCAGGTTCACAAAAACGTCAATAGGTCATCTAACCAATTTGGTTAGATTCGTCGATACACATAAAACATATACACGAACACGAAAAATACAAAAAACGAATATAACATAGTAAAAACTGGCCAGTGTAATTAATCACGTGGGACACGTGTGGCGACGCCGGAAGATGAGTCATGACTGCATGTCCATGTCCAGTGGATGACGTAATGTCCCTCTCCTGTCCTGACCTTCCTTAACCTTGGTCCGTGTTATCGCCGTGGTGATTAATTACACTGGCCAGTTTTTACTATATTATATTCGTTTTTTGTATTTTTCGTGTTCGTGTATGTGTTTTATGTGTATCGACGAATCTAACCAAATTGGTTAGATGACCTATTGACGTTTTTGTGAACCTGAAGATGGACTTATTTTCAAGTCCGAAACTATAGTAGTGAAGAAGGATCACTTGACGAAGCCAGATAACTTAAACCATTCAGCGTAAATAACAAATAATAACAATGGCTACCACTGAACTGACTGTCCATAATGAACTCTTCATTACTCCCCTACCCTGTCGCCGGTAGATATGCTAGTCTCCAGCGGTCACTGCTGCTGCAAGTGAACTGCGAAGATAGCCGGGCGGCGGGCGGGAGTTCGAATCGGTCTGAATCAACCCAAATTCGTACAAATTATCACTGTTTGCCATGGCGATTACTTCACGCATGATTCATGATAAACAATTCCTATTATGGTACCCAGTGGCGGCTCTAGGACCTGGTCAAGGGGGGGACTCCGGGGGGTTTGGGGGGTGTGGAACATAGGCAGATTGAGAAAATTTGACATTTTTTAAGCCGTTTGGTGACTTTCTAAAGCAATTTTTAACGCCTAAAACTGTGTCCAATAATAGCCCAAAAACTCCCATTTCACCTGTTGTTTGTCATGAGCAAGTATAGCCTAGGCCTAGAGTAGAGTAAAGTATATTTTTTAAATAGTTTTTACCAATTTATTTAATAGATCAGATTTATTATCCTAATAGAACTAGGCCTATATTAAATATGAATAGATATTGCAAAGCATAACAATTAATCCTCTATTGTGGTTTCTATTTCATAATTTAACTTGCAATTTTTAAACCTAGATTTAATTTTTACTGCTCAATTTCGGAATTTTGGTGGAGGATTTTGACCCTCTAAACTCTAAAATCAATTGGCATGTATAAACAAGAGAAATTGGCTCCCTCTTGTTTTGAAGGTTTTTTGCCGCTGCGCGTGCGCAAGTCTGCAGTTGCGTCATTAGTAGTGGTGTGTTTACGTTGTTCTCAGAATGGCGCGCATTTTACCCCGCACTACCCGTATATCTGTAGCTCTGGCGCTACCCGCCCGTCCATACAACCTTCAACCTTCTCCCCCCATACCCTCCAAAACGTAACTACCCGGCGGGCTGTGAACAATCTTAATAATTGGTGACTCATATTATTAAAGCTAACACTAACTACTAACATTCTAAATACATAGGCCTACCTTAATTTAATTGTTTGAAACAGAAGTTCATCCGTCGGTCCTTCTGCTCCGAGAAATGTTGGATGACAAGCTCGTTGAAATTGTGTGTTTTTAAAAGTCCCTTCTCAATTGAGCACATTGCTAGTGCATTCAGCCGGTCTTCTCTCATGGTGTTTCTTGTAAATGTTTTTATGCGTTTAAGCGTTGAAAAACATCTCTCACTTTCAGCATTGGACATGGGAATTGTGCAAATAATTTTTAGAAGCTTAACAGACTCAGCAAGGACGCCAGTTAAATTATTTTCATAAATGAAGTTTAATAACATCAGCGATCCTTTGGCACTTTTAAAGCCATCCCTGCTATAAATAACAGATAGCTCTTGTCTTAGCTCCAATTTATTAAGACCAAATATATTTACAGCAGCTTCCAGCTCATTTTCGGGAAATGTATCTTTATATTTGGAAAATAATGTAGGCTCAAAAAGCACACCAACTGACAGATGGTCTAGGAAGCTAAAACGATCGTTAATTCCGGTAGTTATGACATCGCACACTTCCTTAGCAACAATGTCTTTTCTATCACTAAAGCGAGCACGCTTTGTTTTGGGTTCGAGTTCGGTTTGTGATGACTCATCATGTAGTGATTCATTGTCTCGACTACATCCAGCTGCACTTGCAGTGTGTGTATCAGGATTGGGAGAATTCCTTATCTCTGAGATAGCCTTTTTAAAATCGTCTACGTATTTCCGTGCTTTTGTGCAATCAATACTGCGATGCTGGATTTCATTGTAGAGAATATCTACATGAGGCATAATTTTGTTAAAAATCTAAGCCAGTAAATAAAGTCCTCACTTTGGAGGATGTGTTGTAGGCCAATAGCTTGGTTTATGGTTTTGTAGTCATTACTGTTGTCGTCAACAATTTTCCCAAGACATTCATCAATTTCGTGGTTGTAATTTTGTATTGTAGAAACGATCCTTGATTTGTAGTTCCATCTAGTTGCTGGATTTTTCGGCATGCGTTTTTTAACGATGTCGTCAAGAACTTTGGTTCGTTTTGTTGACTGAGAAAAAAAAGCTGAAAATCCTTCAATATTGCTGAAAAATATCTTAATCTGTTTGTTTTGAGTAGAACACCTCTCTACAATTAAATTTAATTGATGTGCATAACAATGAACGTAGTGGGCGTTTTTATAAACTTATTTCACCCTATCCTGTACGCCAGTATGTTGCCCACTCATCGTAGCCGTGCCGTCATAGCTCTGGGCTATTACTTTGTCGGGGGTTTTATCCAGTCCTAGCTTCTGCAATTCACAAAATATAGCCTCACTAATTCCCTCAGCATCCAAACTCTTGGGGTTGACATAAGTGATAAATCTCTCTTTAATTTGACCACTCAATTCATACCTAACAATAAAAACCAATTGAGATAGTGTAGCTACGTCTGTGGTTTCATCTGCTTGAATTGCTACATAACTGCTTTGGCGAATTTCCTCGGAAATCAGTCGATGGCAAACTGAATAAATCGAGTCAAGCAAATCGTTTTGAATTGTTTTAGAAAGGCCAACAAATACTCGATTGTTTGTCTTTTCAATGTGCTGTTTCAGTGTAACATCTATGTCAGCCATTAGATTAATCAAACCTCGAAAAATTCCAGGATTGTCTGATGAATCACGTTCATCGTGACCCCTTAGAGCTAATTCAAATATACCACCAAATTTAACTGCATTGATAAGTTTGTTTAAAATATATCTGTTATTAGCAACTTCTTCATTGTGTTTTTGAATATTTAACCTGTAAGCATTGTCCAGCTGGCTTGCTATATTAACTTTACCTAAAACTGCATATTCGATACTAGCATTTATGTGTTTCTCACTAATTTTATGTTTTTTTACTTTGTCCGCCAAGTGTTTTAAATCTGTCACACCATTAACAGTCCAAACAGAGTCACTAGCATTCATAACCAAACAGTAATAACAGAAGAAAGCATTCTTTTCGTTACAGCCACACAACCACTCAGCATTGTTGTACATAGATTTGTTAAAATTTCTAGAAAATCCTTTTCTACTCTTGCAAGATTTTTGAGATTGCGTTATAACTAAATCAGGTTTTGGCGGGCCTAGCAGCTTTAACTCAACTCTCTGTTCAAAACTTACCACCTCGCAACTGGCATACTTCGTTGAAATGTTTTTCACCGAATTCATTGTTCATTAATTCGCACTACACACTACTACACTACACTTAAAACGAAAAGAAACAGAGGTACAGGTACAACTGTATATTAATTAATTAATTAACTACTATAGTATACCGGCGGCACGGCACGATAACATAACCTCACAAAACTAAAATTTGACGGATCTCTACATAATTGCGTTTGAGTTTGACAGATCGAGATCGCTCGCTGCACCCAGCGCTTGTTGTGGCAATAGTTTGAACTACTGTTTGGACGGAGTCCCAAACGCCCTATATCTGTTGCATTAGAGCCTGATGCAGCGCTGTGATTGGTCGAATATTTCCATGCAGTTTATATGGGAGTTTGGACTCATACCTACTGCGTCCCGGCGTACTACCTGTTGCAATAACATGTAGCGTCCTCTACTACCCGTCCCAAGAACATTGACCCTACTGACGTTTATGTACATTGAATGTAGGATTGTAAATTATTTTTAAGTATGTTATTATTTTTTTTTTACTATTTTGTTGAAAAAGGGAGGACTCCGTCCCAGAGTCCTTATGGACCAGCCGCCACTGATGGTACCTATTTTTTCTTCATATCCATTATTTCGGGGGGGGGGGGGGGGGCAGCCCCCCTTATATTCACCCCTGAGTGAAAGTGTTTATAGATTTCACACGGTTAGTGCAAGAAGACCACAAATTCAAAAAACATTATCATGTAAATAAAATATGAGATAAAATGACACTCCTCCACTCAGCCACAGGTCTTTGATCCCATGAGATTAAAACGTAAGAGGTTACAAAGATGTATGCAGTATGAGGAGTTGACGAACTGGATGGTAGGCTACTATAGTTTGCTTGAACGATAAAAGAAGGACAGTCAAGTGAAGCTGCCTAAAGCCTTCCGAGTGCAGATAAGAGTAGAAAAGAAGTTCTTCTGTTACTTCATCTTGATGTGCCCATTTTCGTGTACAGCTATACTTCACGGAAAAGAATGCAATTCCTAGGTACTGGATCATCCGCAGGATTGGATAATGTTCAGTATAGTCGTTTTTACCTCCTTAAAGATTTTGGCTCATTGGAATATTATGAAAAGTATCATCCACACTTTAGAAAGTCAAACTGCCGAAATTAAAGGCTATGGAACTGTGTTTTAATTATCGTGTAACCAAGTAGTCTAATATCTAGAAAATCATTACAGTTAAGAAAATGGTAAGAGTGTTACAGCTTTCCACAAGACTTCCAAAATTAAGTGTTTCAGGAGAAGCACCCAAAAAGATTGTATTCACTTTGTCTTTGGACAGTATTTCTTATTTACAATCACAACTGTACTTACTAGTATGAAGAATCTGTGTTGCATATCCTTCCTGCACAGTTTGTAAAGTTCTCCTTCTTTTACAAAATGCCTGCCAGGTTTGACAATTTCATAATCTCCAAGCTGAGACTGGATAGAAAGAAGCTTACTGGCTTTGGGATCCTGTGAAATGTATATTTTTGTTTTAAAAACATTTTTGTGAAAAATATGGACAAGTTTTACTTAGATTTCCAATGACATTAATGATGATGATGATAAAGGTAATACTTATTTTGTCACAAAACCTATGTTTCGGGTGATCCAAGAACAGACAGTTCATAAATTTTGTAAGACTTCAACACTCCTTTTGCAGTATTTAAGTAAGTTATTCTTTCGGCTTATATTTCTGTAACAGTTTCCAAAGTTAAAATTATTTGGAATAAGAGGGTACTCATGTGCAAATCCCACATTTTAATAGGGTTCAAAACTAGTCTCAGATGCAGACCAAATACTGTAATACGCTTTTGTTCAACAAATTATGCTAGTTTAAGGCAGTTAGTACATGGGAACCAAGCATTGGTAGGGAAAAATTATTAGTATACTCCAAATATTTTTGGACCAATGTCATTTATTTAAATATTCTTTTGCAGTATATTTGTACTGTAATTTGTTGAAATAGTAATAATATCGTAGTTGAATTCGTTCATGTAAGCAGCAGTTATGATTCTTATGTACTGTAAATGTTTTTTTGTTATTTTTGGGACCAACACACCCGATAATAAAAAAAAATCAAATAAATATCCAATAATAGGCTATACTGAATAATATAATCTTCCTAATATGCTATAGGCTACCTAATAATAGGTGATTTTTTGATAAGCAGAACAATATTTAACAGCCCCTATGCCCTATGTAAAATATTCGCTAAATCCCTTTGGAGCCTATTCTTGGAGTAAAGGTAAAGCCTATTTTCAAAAATTTTTAGTGTCTAAAAGTAGAATTATGAAGATAGTCTAACAAATGAACTTACTAATCCAGAATAAATTAAATTTGTTTATTGTAGATTTATACCATAACGAATGATTTACCTACCCAAATCAGGTTACAATCACCAATAAAAATATCCTCGGTTACTGAGAAGCCTCGTCTTGTTATGTAAAATAAATTTTCATTTTCAACGGTTTTGTCTCTTTTGTTTACTATAGACATACCACGAACAAAACAACCTGCGCAGAAACGAAAAGATCTTGTGGTTCGCGCCGGTAGGTAAGGCGTACCATTCAAACCTGCGCGGCTCGAAACGGCCCAGGGTTCTTTTGTTTCTGGTATTACTATATCTAACTTTAGATTCAACTAAAGGCTCAGCTGTTTTAATTACAATTTAAATTTACAACCGTTGTAAATAAAGTTGATCAGCATCACTTTGGAAGTGAATTCTAGAAAAAAAATTAAAAACTAGGGGGCAAAGCCTTGGATGAGTTCATTTTTACTTTCTCCCCCTATACATAGTATAAATGGAGAAAGTAGGCCTATTGTTTTCGTCAAAATTTTCGAGTTTGAGTTTTGAGTGGATATTCTGTTTTGGGTCCCCATGGACCCAAAAACGTGATTTTCAAAGCATAAAAAAATACCACCGCCACAGCAAACCTGCAGACTTAGCAAATTTCCATTTGCCTGATTGGATTTACAGTGTCTTCTTCCCACACACATTTATTCCCTATTTAAATAGAATTAGTTTTTAACGAACTTAGGTTTGCTGCAACAGGGAGGGTAAAAAAGGGTATATATATGAATTTGAACAGATGGTTTTTTTGGCTTCTAAGGATGTCATTGACATCAAAATGAAAAAGTAAATCGGTCTCGGGTCCAAGTCTTACCATGAGACCTACAGTAATAGCATTGACTTTATATCTGTGTAGATATAAGTCAATGGTAATAGCTTATTCCCTATATAGGAAATTCGCTAAAAATGGATTAAAAAACCGGTTCTGATTGAAATTCTTCTGTCCTTATAGTTATAAAAAAAATAGAGCAACCCCCGTTCCTGAAAAAATTACGGATCAAAAGTTAATGCAACTTTTGTGATTTGACCTATTAAATATTATAATTATTACTCTCTTCGCTAACCCATGATAAAGGTTGTTGACAAGCTAGTAGGAGAAAATATGTGTCAGATTGCTGATACTGTTCATTTTATTTACCATTAGTCTCTTCCCTAAATAATAACCTTTTAAATTACACAAAATCGGCTCAGTAAGATGGACTTAAAGGGATGTAACAGAGAAAACCCTTATTGTATTAAGTACAGTATACTGTATAGATCTTAAGAAAAGCCAATACTATATTATAAAAATAAATTTTCATATTACGTAAAGAAACAAACAAGTAACAACATATTAAACAAAACCAAAACAAATAAACAAACAAAAATAAACAAGTAGGCCAAATCTCCAACAGGCTATTTATTCTAAAAAAGGATGGCATGGAAGGTAATGCAATGTACTTAGAAATATTTATACCTTGTCAACCAATAGGGGTGGAATACTGTAATAGCACAAAGTAGTAACTGTTTGTTTTAAATATTTACAATCGTTTTACAAGGACAAAAACTATTAAAACTGATTTTTGGGAATAGGCTATGAATGTAACAATTTGAACAAGAGAGTTTTTAGTCTCAAATTCTCGTTTACAAAAAGAGACAGAGGTCCCAAACCAAGGTCCTACCATCAAGATATACTAGACAGGAAGTTTCAATTTAAGAATCAGACGAAAGAGAATCGCTTTATTTGTGTTTCAGATCAAATATAATTTTTCATATTATCACTAATGCACTGCCTTTCAAAAGCAGGCCCTATGTAAACCATGCCTGTTCAACCCTTTCTTCAAACATCTGTTTTTATAAAATTTATTTTATAAGTGAAGTAAATTTTTAGGGGGGTAGAATTAATAATATTCTCATTCACTTGTGAACACATGCTTAAGCCCAAAGACACATAAGTAAAAAATCCATCTCACAAGGAAAACTGTGAAAATGGTAATCTTAACTATTCTATTTGTGGTTATGTTATCGCATTGTTGTCAATTTAAGTCTATAAATAGAACTAGTTTACTGATAGATGGAAATTTTGGTAAGTAATAATATGATTATTTCATCAAACTTGGCTATTATTAATTGAATATTGATGTTTAACTCAAACATAGCTTTCTGAGTTCAGGGGTGAAAATTGAATAATTGTAGTACTTATTTAGAAGATGGACAAAATTATTAGCAGAGTGATGAGTTACCTAATGACCAAGATTGGCTACTTACCCCATCCTTGTTCACACTACTGTTGGCGTGGTCTGCAACATCGCAGACAATTTTGAGGGCCTTTTGGGTGTCTATGAAATCTGGAGCATCAGCTTCCTGGTGCTCTAGGTAACGTTCCAACAATAGTTTGTATTGGGGGAGACGCTGAATTGGTTTCAACATGTAATGACTAAGAGCCAACTTCTTACATCGATCTGATTTCTCAAAGTCTTTTACCACTTGTGCGAATTTACAATACTTTTCACAACACTCTTGGAGAAATTCTGTTTGTGCTACAAAGTTTTGGTAGTAGGACAAGTAGAGTTTTAGAAAAGGGCCTTTTGTGACAAAGACATCAGCAACTTTTGGCAACTGACTCCAAGTCTCAATTCGACTTTCGATATCTTTAAGGAGATTTTCATTGAATATCAATAGCTGAGGAAGATTGTTTATTATTTTGTCTAAATCACTGGAAGGAATCACAGGACTCTTCGGGTGAGGACTAGCGCTCTCCACAGCTTCCTTGAAGTCTTGGCATAACAGTTTCAAAACATCTATATAAACTTTCTCTGAAGTCATCAACTCATGAACTATCATATAACACTTATCTTTCCTTCTACGTTGTATATCTTCTTCATTATTTTCATTGCTTATATTGTCAGATTTTGTACTTTGTTCACCGTCAAAATTTTCATCCGATATTGAGCTTCTATTGCTACGTCTATCACAGCACTCGTTACTGACATTCAAATTCTGTTTTGAATCATCAGGGGATTCAAAATTGTTATTATTGTTTAAAGTTAGATTAGAAGACTCGCTTAGAGAAGTCATAGAATTACGCCCACTATCTGAACTCTCCATTTGGGAATCGTCACCAGGACTGTAATAAAATAATGAGCTTTCACGCTTTTCCTTTGTCTTACCACCTTTACCGAACGATCCAAAAAATGAAGATATTCTCCTCCTAACAGAGTTGTTGGTCCCATCGAAACTTTCGTTACCAATAGAGTTTGTGCGAGAACGTGCCGAATCGTTCTCTTCGCTCCATGAAGCACCTCTAGAGTGCTCACTATGTCTCTTGTTCCTTAACGTAACGTCACAATCACTCGAACTCAACACAAGTCTGTTAGAAAAATCACAGCCAGACTTTGATGACTCACTAGAACTATTTAAATTTGGATTCCCACTCGGGTATAAGAATGATGAGTTGGAGGGAGGACTAGAATCACTTATACTTTTACTACTCGGTAACAGTTTAGTCTCAGATTCATTCGTGTTATTGACTAGAACCCAATCACCCTCTGTACCGGACTCTGGAGTTGGAGGGTTGACCTGTAGACTCGGTCTTTGTGCGTTGATAGTCTCTCTGGACGGATTGCCGCGGGTGTTTGTCACTTCGCTATTACTCCTGGTCAACGTCACACCGTCTTTTACTCTCGATGGTAACACTTTATTAAGCTCATTAGTTAAGTCACTAGAAAATAAAGGGGAACCAGTCTGAATACATTTTCTTAAAATGACATCACTCGTGTTATTTTGATGAGTTTGTTTGAGGAGGGTTGAGGGAGGTTTAGCAGCTTGCTCTTGTAGGGAAGCCCAAGTATCCTTGATGATTTTGTCAGCTTCACAAGCTGCTGTTTCGACCGAGGTAACGACTGAACGGTTGTGAGTAATCACTGACTCCTCATGTTGATCATCGCTGCTGATGACACACTCTACATGCTTTGTTTCTACAGTTACGAGTCTACTGGTGCTGCTGAGCAACACTCGCTCTGACTCCTCACTCTCGCTCCTGACTCCAACTTGAGTCACTACATGTCTTCTTTGTACTCTTGGTTGGGCTCCATGAAAACCCGGCTTTGCTGGAAGAACTGGTTTTGGAGCTAGAGGTGGTTTCTGCCGTGGAACACCAAGGATTTCGTTGGAGAATCTAAAACAATAATGAATAAATTGTTAAAAAAGAGCTTGATTTTTACACATTTTAAAGCCTGAAAAAGTCTCAAATAATCATTATTATAAAAAAAAATATTTTTGTAAAGTTATATATCTTTGCTGTACCCAGTAAAATTAGTAGGGTAAATTATATGGTTAAGTTCAAAAGTAATAGTTATATCATTTAAACTTTAAATCTTGAATTATTTGCATTTGGTATATTTGTTGGTTATAGTATCCAAGTTTAATTCAAGTATAAATGAGATCATTATTTGTATAATTGGGAATCCAAGCAAAATAAAATAAAAAGATTTTAGGAGGGAGAAATATATTCACACAAACGCTGTATATGCCAGTTACTAAATTAAATATTTTGCTGTTTAAGAATCTTACACTCAAAGTATCAAGGTTAATGATAAGGATTAAAAAGCTGAAATGTTTTAGATTAATTTCATTTTTGTATAGTAGTACACACAGAGTTGATTGCTTAAAAAAAAAAATACAAAACAGGGATATTAAAATACAGATGTATAATGTTGGGAATAACAAGAAAGATGTGACAAAAATAATAAATATCCAAGATGGCAAAACATTTTATCAACTAAACAAACATACAGAGAACTTTTCGTTGGCTTACAAATTATCAGGGGCAGTTGTGAATTCAGAATTGATATAATGGGGAAGGTAAAAAATATTGGAGTGCTCAATTAAAATCTTACTCCAAACATCTTACCACAGAATAAAGAGAGATCACTTAACAATCAATATTGTTTTAATATACAGTTTTGTACAATTCTATAAATAAACTGCATATCAATCTTTACACCCTCTCTTTAAAACTGTTAGTATTGTATTGATAAATCGATTTTAATGGGCCAAATTTTATTAGTCTAACAATCATAAGGTATTGAACGTTTGATAAGCAAAGGGACTAACATAGCTGTGTATAGGCCTATTTAGAAGGGAGTGGCGGAAAGTGTCAGGAAGAGAAACAGGATACACAAGAATAGGAAAAGCCATGGACCTATATGTTATCGTGAAAAGGTTGTCCATCTAAATTTCTTCTTTGGTATAGGGTAAATTTTAAAAATACAAAAAGATTTTTTGTGAAATATGTAGAAAGTTATCAACATTAAAAGTGTTGCTTCTTCGGTTATTAAAATTTAACTCTCAAACAGTTCTTAGTAAGAGAAACTTACTTTTTGACCCAAACCTAGTACAATTGGCATTATGATCAACGAATACTTTTAGGTGTTCTACAAGGAAAATAAAAACTGTTTTTGTAAGTTTTGATTACACACATATTTGGGCTTGACACTACCAATTAGACCACAACAATACCAAAGCCTCCATTCTGTGTAGAAATCACCTAACACACATTCATTATGTTGTCAAACATAGGTATATCTTTTCTTGTTTTACTAGCAATCATAAATTTTTGCTCTAAAAAATATGATGATTGAAAGGAGTGTACCATATATTTTGTTATAAGTAATAAGGCTACATGTGATTTAACAAAATTTTATTTTTACAAAAAATAGTAATAAGTTACTTATTTTACTATGCAAAATGTAAAATGTGTTATTTTTAAGTGCTCTTGTTGTGAAGTCTGGTGAAAACGTACCATAGGCCTAATAGTTTGACAGAATTGACACCTAGCTGACAATGTCAAGAGGAAGATGGTTTGTTTGACAAACAGATCACAGCAACAGTTTATTATACATCCGATGGCATTACTTCCTCTCACTTGTGATTCATCCTCTCAACTTTCTAGGCCTCTTGACTTAAAATGTCAAGCATGCTTGTGACGTTATCAGTGTACAACACAAAATATATTGACCTGGACAATAAGTCTTGAAAAGAAGAAATAAATAAATATACTGGATTGGGAAGTTTTGGTTAGTTAATGTTTCAATTAAAGTTTCATTTGAGTTTTAAATATAAAATATCAAGAACAGTTTTAAAATCCACAATATAACAAAAAGTTTTAAAAGTCAAGGTACAAGATTAGATAGTAAGTTTTACTGGCAACAAATGGTTATATATTCACCTAAACAATTTATGATAACAAAAAAGTTTTAGCATACTAAAAGAATTATTTTGCCATAATTTTTTCATCTTCTTTTTATATTACTTAGATAATTTTGGAGCTAAAAATTTGGCTTATACTGAGGCTGGGAAAAAAGTGATTCATGTTGATGATTAGCAACACTAATATCTGTATTTTGTCTTGTAGGAAGAAATCTAACTGATTTTTCTTAATTTCTATAATTCTGAATCAAACTATTTCCTAAGACCTTTTTCGAGTGCATATCATATGACACTATTTGTGTATGTTTAGGTATTTAAAGTAAATTAATAAAGATAGTTTGTATTGCAAGGTTGATTTTGAATGTATTGTATGAGGCAATCACATGGCTCTTGCCCTCAAACATTATTAAAAATTGTCATCTCAAGGGTTCTTTAATGGGGTTGTCAAGGTTGAAAAATTGTCTTAGATTCTTTTAAACTTGAGACCATTAGTTATCAAGTCCAGTAATATTGTCTAGAAATAAAGCCGGGCTTCAGATTCAAAGGTTGCTGGTTTGATTCTAATTTAGGAATGACCTATGTAAATTTATATTGTTGATCTAAAAACAGGATTTGGAGAGTTTGGGTTAGATTTTTCCAAACAAAATGCCAATGATAAACACAAACAAATGAAATATAAAAAATAAAAAGTGAAAACTAATAACTCTAACTAATAACCAGTCTCTATAATAAGGTATTTATGGCCAAACTTAGAAACTGTTATATAATGTTCTGGGAACATGTACCGGTGCACCGGTGCAGATTAACCAGTGACTTATTCACCGGTACCGCCCCGGGGCAAGAGTCTTGGTATCCCAGAACGGTTATTCACTGGTTTAAGGTACACATCGGATTACAATTTACACATTAACCTATTATTTACTTTATAATATTAAAACCGAACAAACTTGTCCTCACAGAATAAATGATTTGAAAATGATTCACTTAATACGTAATATAACCCCCTCATAGAATAAATTATTCACTCATTACGCAACATAACCTGTAAAACTGATAAACTTATTCGATGGACCCGCCATCTTGCCGTAGCTTCATGCTGTTGTCGTTGTCCAAGAAACTGACCAATCAGAGGCCGCCGGTGTATTATGCACCGTACAATTTCTCCGGTGCATAAATCTTGCAACGGTGGAGGAAAAAGAGGAAATAGCTGTCTGCTAGGTTAACTCACCGGTCTCCCAGAACGACACATTTTTTGCACCGGTGCAGCACCGGTGCACCAGTACATGTTCCCAGAACGCGCACATTATTGTTTAAATATTTTTATAATTTGCTAACTTTGAACAGTTTGACAATACAGATAGTTTTTAGTAGATCTTAATAATTTGACATTATTATTCTTAGCATAAGATATAAACAGGAAATATGAATTAAATAACTAACCTTTGTGCTACAAACTCTTTCGTCTTCAACGGGGAAGGTTTTGGAGGAGGAGTAGGCTTTGCTGGAAAATATGGAACAAATTAATCTACAAACTTATTAAAAAATAACAGTCTGTTTGAATATGATGGCCATTTGATAGTTTGTATCTTATAGCTTAGACTTTATTAAGAAATATTATCCAAAACTAATAACAACAGGTCTTCTTTTTTCAAAGCAAGTTTATCCTAAATAAACATTAAAAAATGTATAATATAATATAATATGGCTTATTATAATATTTCATGACTGCAATGCTAAAGGTAATCAAGAACAGTCCTCACAGGCATGTGCATGTATTTTAATGAACCACTGAATGAAGGCATTTTATACTATATAAATTCTCTAAATAACTTTAAACTATAATATTGAGGGCGAGTTTGATAAAATAGTAATTTTATGTCAGTGATTTGTATCACATGGGTCACATTAAAATGTAATGATTTGTAAATTAAATTGTCTCGATTACAAACAATTGAAAAAATGTATTTACAATCACACCTTTAAACAATAATGAAGTTTTAAAACAAAAATGTGTAAATATAACCAATTAAACCTAGTTGATGGTATGTTTTTTAATTGATTTAAAATCTGTTACAAAAAAATGATTCTAACAAATCATACATATACGAAACGACACAACCCATATACACATTCATATAATTTTTAAGACACTTTCAGCTTACATACTCTCATCGCACAGTATTAACAGTCGTCTAGCTGCACATACCTCCACAAATAAACAAGGATATATGAACACAAAAAGTACATGCACACACACTCACAATAGTGTGACCACTGACAAAGCATTTCATACTACCCAGCACATGCGTACACTGTACAGCCTATTTCACATAGAGTCTATTCTCAAACCAAGGTCACTTACACCCTTTTTCATTGGGAAAAGCAAGATTCAGGAAGTAATTGGGTAATTGCCACAAAGAGAATCATATGTGGTCTAAATATGATTGAGTGACATAGATTCATGAATCACAGACAAAAGTGAGCAGTCGACAATGGTTTTGCAAGTCCATGGAGGAATCATGCTGATATTGCAAAAAAAATTTTAATCTTTAAACATAGTAAATGGAAAATATGACAACTAGTGAAATAGTAAATAAATGAAAAATTTTAATGTTAATCTTTACAAAATTATTTTAGGAAAATCAGATCAAAGGACAACATACAGGGTGATCAGCTAAATTAGGTTCCACTGGTATCTATAAAACTACTAGATTTAGAAAAAAGTAAAAAATAAGAACTTTTTATATTAATTAAAATTTAGAGAATAAGATTTTAAAAAGTATAACGTAAACCATTTTCAACTAAATAAAATGTTTACAATTTCTTAACAAGACTCCAGGTTTGAAGAAAGGATTTAGATTGTATGTGCAGTTTGTGATTTATGATTTGTGAAAACTTATCTATTTCATCAGTGATTTGTTATTGTTACTAAACCTTAGAAGATAATTTTGGGTCACTATAATTCTCTAATGGTTCTGTTTTGTTCAAAAGGCAAAAATGATTCCAAATGACGTTTTACATATACAGTACCGTAACTTCATCTGTAAATAATTAGTATAAATTGATGTTTATAAAGTTGTGCAATAATTGAATAATTGGCAATTTCATGAAACATCAATATTTTGTTAAAATGAAATACATTTCAATTTATGATTTAGTCTAATGCTTAGCAAAAGTACCATGAAATAAAGTGCATTTACATTCCAAGATGAAGAGTACTAGACCAGTTAGTATGTTTCCAATTCAACACATTAGTGTATCCGTTATTCTAAGATACCTTAAACGTACCACCTAGCTCCTACTGTTATGAAACATTACACCTGGTTATTTATACTATCCAATCTTTTTACCAACGACCAAGTGTCAATCACATGAACATTGCAGGTGTGGGACATTAAATTATTATTAGAGTTACTGCTGTGTTGTGCGTCTTGCCCATACAAATCTACTGTAAACTTATTCTGGCTGTTCCAATGGCACCAACACTATAGTAACACACTTTATATCAAAGAACTGGTATATTTAAATGGTAAAGCACAAATCTGTATAATGATGAGGATAAATATTTAAATATTTATTATTTATTATATAGGATGTTTTATCTGAAGCTCACATTTTGGTATCCCTGTGTTCTTTATTTCATTGCCAATCAGCTGATATGCATCATTACATAGTTATCTACAGTGTTATTGGGAATTTACTGTGGATTATCCTCGACTTGGCGTTTTTGCAATCCCTATTTTAGCATGTAAAAAATCCCTTATTTACAATAAATTATCAATAACACTAAACATATTAGCTGCTCGTCAATGAAGTAAAGAAAACAGGGATATGAGTGTTGTTATGTTATCAAAATAAATATAGAGTTCGTAGTTTCTAAGCTGTCCATTTTTTCTATAGCTGACAGAAGTCTATAACAATAGATTTTCTTTTATTATTTTATCTAATGTAGCAAATTGATTTAAATAAGATACGGTGAATCATAAGGTCTTTTCTAGTTTTTTTTAAGATATTTTATTTATGTTAACTTAATTAGTTTTAGTTTAGGTTTAGTTTATATTGTGACGACACTCAAATCTTTTACAATAGAATGATTTACAACATTAGTCATTTCATTGTCAGACGTCTTATCAATTTCTGGCACTAGCACAAGATAAATCCATCTTTTCAGTTCCTAGCAGGCTTCTTAAATCATTATTACTATGCTGGTGATTCTACTTATCATTTTAGTTTCTTATCATGTGTTTGTATTAATTTGGACAAACAAACAAAGTCAATATTAATTCAATCATTTTAGCCTCTGGATTGCTTATATATTAATTGATATTATAAGGCCTTACCTTAGCAATCCTGTTTTTTGATCCGAAATTAATTTCGGGCCCGAAGGTCCATCATCAGTCGGAATCTAGTAGACCAAATTTTCTAAAATAGAATCCACCCGTTGGGTTTCGTAGAAAGTTTCACAACATTTAAGACAATAGATACTATAGACAATACTACTAGACAATAGATTCTATTTTAGAAAATTTGGTCTACTAGATTCCGACTGATGATGGACCTTCGGGCCCGAAATTAATTTCGGATCAAAAAACAGGATTGCTAAGGTAAGGCCTTATAATATCAATCAATATTAATTGTTATAGTCTTGTGATAGACAAAAATATGTCAAACTCAACAAGGGCAGTCCTTGGAAAAACAGTAGAACTAATAGTACAATATTATTTAGGCTCAAAACAGTAGAACTAATGGTACAATATTATTTAGGCTATAATTTAAAGTCAAATTTTTAATGTTGGGTCATATACCTGACAAAAGCTATTTTCTTGCAAAAAAAGATCATGACAGTGTAAAGTGAATGATATTCCACCAAAATGTATAATTTAATACTTCATTCCATATTATACTTAATTAACATAAAATTCAAACAATAATCTTAAAACATTCCCTGCAGAAATAACGATAAAATTTAATTTTTATTTAGAGAAACAATATAATGGTTTTATTTGATTTTACAACTAACCAAAGTATTACTTGTAATCAATTTTATAAAAAAGAGACTGGTGTCCTCTTTCAAACTTTCATTTTCTTCTTTATACAGGCTGAAAAGCATTAAGTGGATTTTAAAAGGATTTTTGTTGGAGTCCTTGGAGGCTAGCGGCCATCTTGGATGATTTCAAACAGCTGCTGAAGAGTTAATTATCATCCAAAAATAGTTTTTCAAACACCAACGTGATTATAATTTTAATATCTAGTATACTATGATTAGAAATTTTCGTTGTTGTTTTGGATTGATTTCCAAGGGATTCCATGGAAGCCAACAGCCATCTTGGATTTGCTCGCCATAAGAGCGATGTTAATTTTGTTATTTTCAAACAGCCGCTGAAGAGTTATTTACCATTTCAAAATATTTTTTTGAATACCTAAGTGATTGTAATTTAAATATCTAGTATACTGTGAGATTAGAAATTAATTGTCTTAGTAATTTTTTAATTGTTTTATGAGTTAAAACGTCTAGGCTCCAAGGACTCTTAAGGACGGAGTTCAGCTGGACGGATGTTGAGTCCTAATATAGGACTTGTTAAGAGGGTACTTTAAAGAGAAATGCCAGTTTAAGTCTGAAACTGGACTAATCTTCACTGTTGCTAACTGTGGCCACCAAAAACAGGTTTAGTTACCAATCTAATCACAAAATGTGATTCACACCCACTAAAGGACAGTTTTCTGCATTCACACTGACAATACTTTCTGTAGAATCTTTGTAAAGCTAGTTAATATTTGGGTTTTTATTCAAAATCGAGGTAAGGTGTAATCGTGGAGTCTTTAATGAAATGGTAGGCTAGTAGCCATTTTTTCAATAGATATCTGTTGCATTGATCTTTAGGAATGGATCTTTTTCCTTTGTAGTAAAGCAAGCGTCAAAGTCTTATGTTTTTAAGCACGGATGGCTATGGGTTTCTTTTGGTGAGAACTGATGCCTTGTCAGTGAAGAAGTCAATTATTAGAACGAAATATAAGTGTTATATTAAGTGATCTATTGTTGCAGGTCCATTATTCCCTATACTTTTTCTTAGGTAAGCTAACTACGCTTTATTCCTTTCCAAAAAACACTCATTTACTAGACATTTGTTAATGACATAACTACGACAAGAACCCACAAAATAATGCAATGAATCTATTCTTCTTGTCAAGACGGAAAAACTAAAAGTATCAAAAGTCAAACTTATTTTTGTTCATTGAACTGCAGAATTGGCACTAGAATTGAATAAACTCAACTATTCCCTAACATTTTTTGGGCAATGCCATTAGGCCTACCTATTAGATACTAAGACTTGGAAAATATTGAAAAGAACGTCACAACAAATTGGGGTTTATTCAGTGATGATGATGATGATGATGATGATGCTGCTGCTGCTGCTGCTCAGGGCTAGAGATATACAAGGGCTGGCTCACTCCTTTGATGTTAGCGGTCGCCACCTGATCCTACTTCCCCTCCCCCGCCCC